ATAAAATGTTCATATAAATTGAATTGTGCAATATGATTTTGTAGCCTGGTGTCTTAGCATGATGTGTCCGAGGTTCACCTCTATGATAACATGTTTAGGTGCCTCATTTCTCATTCTATTGTGTAGATATACCACATTTTATTTCCTTATTCATTAATTGTTGAACATTGGTTCCGTTTTCACTTCTTGGTAATTTTAATACTGCTGGCAGTGCTCATGGGACCATGCAGTGTAAGGGACCAAATTGTGCTTGGCTGCATGTAGGACAAACACCCTAATCTATGTACTGTCTCTCAGTTTGTTGTTTGTCTCCCAAGCAATGCTTGGGGGCCCCAGGCCTCTCCTGGCAGCATGGGTACTCAGCCAACCAGACTGGATAATTCACAACCAGACTGGATTATTCACTGGAAAATTCACTGTGGTGCTGGGGACCACCAGCATGGGGAGCTTTGTGCACCAGGGTTCAAGCTCAGGTCCCTCCATATGTGTGACCCTGATTGTTAAGCTATCTACCCAGCCCCCAGTATCACATTTTTGTTCCACCAAATCGGTATTTTTCTTTCTTTTGTTTGATTTTATATCAGTTTTTCTGTTCTAGTTCAGCTATCAAAATTCATTTTAATTCATCTTATAGTTATCTCTTCAATATGTATATAGTACTTACCACAGTGTAGTATAGATTGATACAGTTTTTTGGCTTTTGGGGTCACACCCAGCAATACTCAGGGGTTACTTCTGGCTCTGCACTCAGGAAGTACTCCTGGCGGTGCTCGGGGACCATAAGGGATGCTGGGTATCGAACACAGGTCAGCCATGTGCAAGGCAAAGGCCCTACCTCCTGCTGCAGTATCGCTCCAGCCCCTGGATTAATACTTTTAGAATCCTTTTGATTAAGCAAAGTCATTAAAAATCTCATTTAATTGATACTGAAATTGGGATGCCTAATATCAACTAAATTTTTCTCCCCTCATAAAATTATGCTTTCCTAGTTATAACATTCACATTTTCTGTTTTGGCTTATCAGTTTGTAGAAATGTGTCTTTATGAAATAGGAAAAATGCTATTTTTCTATTTTTGCTGTTATCCAGGAGCTGTCAGACAACCTCACTGACTTTCATGTGTTTGTTTTTGGTTTGGGAGCCACACCCAGCTGTGCTCAGAGATCACTCCTGGCTGTACCATATGGGATGCTGGGGATCAAAGCAGGGTTTGCCATGTGCAAGACAAGTGCCCCACTTGCTATACTCTCTCACAATACCTTGATTGTGGTATTTCCCTAATTACAATCCTTCTCATTCTCTGTGAATTCCCGTAACTGCATTGTGATTTGTGATAGGTGTGTGATTAGCAAAGGATTTGGAAACAGGGCCCTAAAGAGGTTAAGTAGTTTTTCTCTGGTCCCACACCTGAAGAATGACATGCTTATCTGTGCCTATCACATTACTTTACTTGTGGTATTGTGGCCTGTTACTGCTTGCCTATACATGGCCACTGGCTTCTCAGTTTTGTCATATATTACGTTTTCTTCTTTCTAGAAACCATATATGATAACCTCATGACTCATGTCCTGAAGGTTGAGACAATTGGGGAATTATTCCTGGATAACCTATCTTCACTGCACCACTCCTCCTATATCTAGAACATGGTCCCATTGGCTCTGGAATTTACCAACTCTTCTGCCCTATTGAAAATGTTCTTTTGAAAAAAAGTGTCACTAGTTCTTACTTATCCTTACATGGATTGTACTTCAGCATCCCCTTTCCATGTCTCATTTTTTTTTAAAAATTTTTTTAATTTATTTTTTACTAGTGAAACACCATGAGGTACAGTTACAGACTTACATATTTTTGTGCTTGGGTTTCAGTTACACAATGATCAAGTACAAATCCCTCCACCAGCGCCCATTCTCCACCACCACGGGTCCCAGTATCCCTCCCACCCCCCATTCCCCCCCATCCTACCCTGCCTCTGTGGTAGGGCATTCCCTTTTGTTCTCTCTCTCTCTCTCCTTTTGAGTCCCGTGGTTTGCAAGAGAAGCATTGAGTGGCAATCATGTTTGGTCTATAGTCTACTTTCAGCATGCTTCTCCCATCCTGGGAGGATCCTCCCAACACCCTTTATTTGGTGCTCTCTTCTTTATCTGAGCTTCCTTTTCCCCTAGCACGTGTGGCTGGCCTCCAAGTCATGGAGCAAAATTCCTGGTACTAATCTCGGCCACTCCTGGGTGTTAGTCTCCCATTTTGTTGCTTTATGTTCCCCAGATGAATGCAATCTTTCTGTGTCTATCCCGCTCTTTCTGACTCATTTCGCTTAACATGATACTTTCCATGTAGTACCACTTGTATGTGAATTTTCTTGACTCCATCTTTCCTAACAGCTACATAATACTCCATTGTGTAAATGTACCAAAGAACAAAAGCAACCGATGCTGGCACGGATGTGGCGAGAAAGGGACCCTCCGTCACTGCTGGTGGGAATGTCGACTGGTCCAACCCTTTTGGAAAACAGTATGGACGATTCTCAAAAAATTAGAATTTGATCTCCCATTTGACCCAGCAATACCACTCCTAGGAATATATCCCAGAGAGGCAAAAAAGTATAGTCGAAGTGACATCTGCACTTGTTTGTTCATTGCAGCACTCTTTACAATAGTCAGAATCTGGAAAAAACCTGAGTGCTCGAGAACAGATGACCACGTCTCATTTTTTAGAATTCTTTCAGTTCTAATTTTCTTTCTGTGTTTACCTTCTGTCTTGTCACTCTTTGAGTTAAATTTCATAATTGGCTGTTTTATGTAATGCTTTATTCTGCTAATCACTGCTAATAAGTTTCTAGCCCAGAGGTTCCCAAACTTGGCTTGCCCTACTACCCTCTTTTCAGAAATACAAAAGTAACTTAGCACCACTCAGGAAATCCACTTTGTTTTAAAGCTTTCTAGTGCTCTCCCCCAGCCCCAATTGTACCACCCTCATAATTCCAGCACACTCCTGGAGAAGTAATAGTTACCCACATTGGGATGGACTGTGCAATCCAAGTCTTCTTTACAATGATCCCCTGAAACTTAAAGAGATGCATCATACTTGTGGCATCAGCGATCATAACAGCAACCCTGGGGATTATACTCAGTATATGGGCCGGTGCTAGACTCCAACTCATGACCTCCTGGCTGGGCACGAATTCATACCACTGAGCCACATCTCTGGACCCTAAACAGTTCTTTTATATTAATTTGTTTAATTCTTTAGAGGGTACAAATCTGAAGCCTTCCTTTTTTATTTTTTACTTATTTTTTATGTAGGAGTACTGCTATTTATTCAGCCACTGATTAGCTGATTGATTTGGATATGAACTCCACCTTACTTTTTTTCAATTTTATTTATTTATTTATTTTTCTTTTTATGTTTATTTATTGAATCACTGTGGGAAAATTTACTAAGCTTTCAGGTTTAAGTCTTGGTCATACAGTGATCAAACACCTCTCCCTTCACCAGTACTCATTTTTCATCACCAAGAACCCCAATATACCCCTCCTACCCCTCCCAATGCCTGTGAGGCAGATGATTTCCACTTAACTCTTCTCTACATTGATTACATTCATTATTTCGACAAAAGATGCACCATTATTGTTTAGAATTCACCCCCCCAACAATCAGAATCGCTGAAAAGGTATTGTGAAATACTTTGTTTTCTATAGCTGGTTATGAGAAGCATATAATGATTTTGGATTTCTGCAAAGAGCCAGATAATTACGAGATTGGTTTCTGTACGTCTGGGGCAACTCGTGAAGTCTCCCTTTTAACCTAATGCTTTTCCCATCTGTTGGTAGTATTGGATGGATTAGTTTTGGTAGAATTCTAATATTTTTGTCACTTCTATTATTATTAGGTAAAATATTTCTATGGGAGAAACTTTTTCTCATTTCACTTGCACTAACCTTATTTAGCTACCCAGTTCTGAAAACTCTACTTTTCTTTTGTGCTAATGAGACTATTATTTCCCTAAGACTTTTGATAAGGTACTTTCCTTCCTTCTTGAAGAAGTTACTGATTTTCCCAGTTTCATTGATAAATAATAGCACCATGTAAATTTAAGGATCACAGCACAATGGTTTATGAAATGATAGGTTTGAACCACAATAGGTTCAAGTAAAATCCATTTTCTCGTATAGCTTCTCATATAAAAGGAAAAGAAAAAAAGGAAAAAATGTTCTTGAGACAAGAATTCTTGAATTTATCAACTTTTCTGTGCATCTTATAATAGTATTATAGTTATTGTGTTGTATGTTATTTCCCTATTATAAACTTAATTATAAAGAATTACTCTAAAATGGTGGGTTAGTGATTTGTAGGGGGGTATAGGTGAGAGTTTCCAAGTCTCTCAGATTTAGGGAAGCCCTGATTTTACTAAGGTTGAGGGGTGGCATGTGAGTAGGAAGAAAGAAATAACTATATACCTTTTCTACTGTTGAACTTTGCTGTAAGGGTTCAGTGCTCAAGTGTAAGGCATAAAAATTTTCTTCACCAGAGTGTAAGTCAAACTCAGTAGGAAGTCATTTAAATATAATGACCTATGGCCCTTAAAAGTGCCTCTACACAGTTTTGTAATGAAGCTTATTAAAATGTAATGACTAGTGTATCAAGGGGGAGCTACAATGGGGTGGAGACTTGCAACTAAAATTCCTTTTGCTAGCTTTTTCTAAAAGCAAAAACTCAGAAAAGCTTTGGCATCTCCTCTGCTCTTGCCAGCTCTACCTTATGCACAAATGGTGAAATCAAGACAGCCTGGGACAGGGCAGCTGGGGAACTCAGACCATTTCCTCTTAGTATGTGGGTATGGATCAAATGGACACTTTTGTCACTGAAATTGCAGGCAGTAAAAGTATACAAATGGCGACTTCTTTTTCATGACCATTTTTCAGTACAATTTACAGATCAGCTGTTAGTGCTATCACTTTTAAACCTTTTAATAGCTCGCATATTATCTCTTTTTGTTCTTTACAGGGCAGTGCCTTTTAGCCTTTCCAAGATTTTCACCCTGATTTGTGTGTCAGACTGGAGAAGGAATTTTAGTTGAAGTTTCACCAATTGAAAAATTGGAGGTAAGTGTCTGTATATTCCTGTAGTTACATCAGAACAAAAAAATCATTAATATTAATCTAGATTGTTAACTTGTTTATGTATTCTATTCCCTTGTCCCCTATTCCTTTTGTTTAAGATCAAGGATGAAAAAAATCAATATGTTCTAAAAATATGTTTTAGAACCTAAGCAAATTCCATAAACAGTTAATTTACGATTAGAAACTTCAGCAGGAAATGGAAGGAGAAATTAGCAGTGGATTTAGGATAAAAGGGACCAGCCAATTCTTCACAGAGATCCCAGACGCCCAGAGGTTGATCTGGTAGAACATGAAAGACCTTCCCCAAGGATCACAGAGAAAGAGCTTAATGGGCTGAGCACATGCTTTGCATGCTAAACGCCCAGATTTGCTTACTTGCACCAAATGGTTCGTGGAGTACTATCATGAGTGACCCCCAAGCACATAGCCAGAGTAGCTCCTAAATACTACCAATGTAGCCGCCCAAAAAAATCAAAGAGGAAGAGAAATACCTGCCCCAAGGAGTAATTGGGACTGTTGTATATGTTCATTTTCCAACTTCCTAGTTTTTATTGTAATTTTTTATAAGTTCAAATTCTTGTTCAATAAAACTTAGTTGTATATATGATAAATCTAATATGAGCAAAGAAGAGTATGCATTTTTAAATCATATTGCTTTGGTAGATTTCAGAAAAGACTATATAAACATGCCATCTTTGATTCAATAGTTTCTTCATGCTATAGAAATGTTCCCACTCAGGGACGGAGCCATTATACAGCAGGTAAGGTACTTGCCTTGCACACGGCCAACCCAGTTTTGATCCCAGCATTCCATGTGGTTCCCTGAGCACTGCCAGAAGTGATTCCTGAGCACAGAGATAGGAGTAGTCCCTGGGCATCACTGGGTATGGCCATAAAACAAACCCAAAAACTTTTAAAATAATATCCCCACTCTTTTAACATATTTACTATTAGAACAACATGTGTGTGTGTGTGTGTGTCATGAATGAAACACTGGCCAGGATGATGTTTTGAGATCTTTTTAAGAAGTATTGGGGTTTTTTGGGTTTTTTCTTAGGAAGATAACATTGAGCATTTGGTACTGAACATTTTGCTAAATGTTTTACATGCTTTTCTCATTTGATATTTTCTCCAAATGTTGCCATTTGTTTATTTTTAATTGAATCACAGTGATATACACATTTACAAAGTTGTTCATGAATGGATTTCAGTGATATAATGTTCCAACACCCCTCCCTTCTCCACTGTACTTTTCCCACTACCAATGCTTCTAGTTTCCCTCTCATCCTCCCACCACCTGTCACTATAGCAGGCATTTCTCTCTCGCTTTTCTTTTTCTCTCTTTCTCTCCTTTTAGACATTATGATTTGCAATACAAATGCTGAATGTTATATATATACATATATGTATATATGTATACATATATATTATATACGTGTATATGTATATAATATATGCATACGTGTGTGTGTGTGTGTGTGTGTGTGTATCCTGTTACCTACTTGGCAATAGGTTTGAAAGCATTCACTAGTGAATCCATCTGGGCCTGAGCTTTTGATTTTGGAAAGACTTTTGATTACCATTTCAGTTTCATTGATAGTGATAGGTCTGTTCAAATATTCTTTAATTTTCTCTCTAACCCACTGGTTGTTCAGTAGTGAGCTTTTTAATTTCCAGCTGTTTGATTTGGTTCTCTGCTTCTGTATGTGATTAACTTCTATTTAAGTGCATTATGGTCTGAAAATATAGTTGATACCATTGAAATAAAATCTTCTTAATTTTATAGAGGTACGTTTTGTGGCCTAGCATGTGGTCTGTCTTGGAGAATGTCCCATGTGCACTGCAGAAAAATGTGTATTTGGCTTGATGAAAAGTCCTTTAGACATCTACTAGCCCTCTCTCTTCCATTTCTTCCTTCAACGCCAGTATTTCCTTGCTGAGTTTTAGTCTCATTGATCTATCAAAAGGTAAGAAGGCAGTGTTGAAGTCTCCTACAACTGTTGTGTTGCTGCTAATGTCCTCCTTACAGTCTATTAGCAGTTATTCTAAGTATTTTGCTGGCCCCTCATCGGGTGCATATATGCTTAGAAATGTAATTTCTTCCTGTTGTATATATCCCTTGATTATTAGGAAATTACCTTCACTGTCCCTTCTAACCCTTTTCAGTCGAAATATATGTCATCAGATACTAGTATGGCCACCCCTGCCTTTTTGCAAGAGTTGTTTGCTTGAAAAATTGTTTTCCAGCCTTTGACTTTGAGTCTGTGTTTGCTCTGACTATTCAAATGTGTTTCTTGTAGGCAACAGAATGTTGGATTCAGTTTTTTTTTTAGATTTTTATTAGTGAAACACCATGAGGAACAGTTGTAGATTAACAAATTTTTATGCTTGGGTTTCAGTTATACGATGATTGAATACCCATCCCTTTTGCCACTTTGTTTATCTTAATTGGTGACTTTGAGAGAGATTATTGCCATGAGGTTTTGTGCCATCTTTCTGTAGAAATTTGTTGTGTTTGTAGGGTTTGTCTTGCCTTAGATCAGCCCCTTCAGTCCTTTTAAGGTTTATTTTGATTCTGTGATGTTCCTAAGCTGTTGTTTATCCATGAAGTTGTATATGATTCCTTCAAATCTGAATGAGAGTCTAGCAAGGTAGTAAAGTATTCTTGGTGAGGCATTCATTTCAGTACAGTTTTTAACTATATCCTACCATTGACCTTGGGCCTGGAGAGTTTCATATTATACATCTGCAATAAATCTAAGGGATGATCCTTTGTAATGTCCTTTTTTGATCTTGCCGTTTTCAGTATTGTATCTCTATCTGGATATTTGATGTTCTGATTAGGATATGTCTTGGAGTCTTTTTATTGGGATCTCTTTTAGCTGGTACCCTTCGGGGTTCTTGGATCTGGATGCATTTTCCAGCTCTGGGCACTTTTTTTTTTTACTTTTATTAGTGAAACACCATGAGGTACAGTTGTAGACTTTTTTGTGCTTGGGTTTCAGTTATACAATGATTGAGTTTTCTTTAACTGTTACTACCTCAGTGGGGTTGCCTCCTTGTCCCTCTGTGACTCCAATGGTACTTATGTTGTTCCTCTTGAATTCATCCCATATGTCTTTTACCTAACCTTGAGCTATTTTGAGGTCCTTTTCCATCTTCTGTCGTTGCCTTTGTGCTTTCTAGAGCGCATCTTCAAACTCACTGATTCTGTCTTTGGCTGTTGTCATTCAATGATTGAGGGTACCCATTGAGTTTTTCATTTCATCTACTGAATTTATAATGACATTTGTTTTTAGTTTTCTTATTTCTGCTCTCATTTCCTCCTATATTTTATTGGATGTCTGTTCTACAGTATTTGAGCTTGTTGAACATCCTCACCATTTCGTCTCTGAATTCTTTATCAAAGAGATTTTGTATGTTAGTATTCCGTATAGGGCTTCAGGGCTCCTGTCTTCCTCCCCCATTCATGGTGGGGTTTTGCGTGGTCTTTTCATAGTGCCTGTGGCAATCTGGGGTTGGTGATCTGCTCATTTCCCTTCTAGGATAATCCCTTCCGTTTTGGTGTTCCTTTGTAACCTTGTGGAGCTACTTTGGAGGTGGATCTTATGAGTTATAGTGGGGGAGTATAACTGGCAGCTGCTGGAAAAGCCACACCCTTTGCCTTTCTATCCTGTGGGTGGGGTTTAGCAAAGATCAATGGGTTTGAACTGTTGTCTCCTAGAAATTTGCCCCTGGGCTACTCTGCTGCTTCTGTCCTACAGTGGCTCCCAGGCAGGAAGTATGGGTTTTGTTTGTTTGGGGCCTCAAACAATGTTATTTATGGGCTACTCTCAGTTTAACTCCCAGTTCAATGCTTAGGGTAGTGCATGGGGAACCATGGGGCCTGAGGGATGAGTAGGGTATCCTGTATGCACATTAACCCTTTGAACTTATTCTTATTTGGAGGGATGTTTTTCTTGGGGCAGTTTTCAAGGCTTACTCCTGACTTTACCAGGGTTCAAATCCAGGTGAGCTGTGTGCAGATATCCTACCCTTTGTACTATCTCTCTGACTCCTTTTTAATTTGGCAGAAATTTTAATGCCTCTTGCCTTTAATATAGGCAGGCATCCTGGGTTCAGGGTTCCGGATTGGGATTACTGAACCTCAGCACTGTCAGTGCTTTGGGCTGAATAATTCTTTGCTGACAGAATGCACTTATACTGTGTACAAGTACTGTGTCCTGTGTACTGCAGGATGGTAGCATCGTGGGCCTCTGTTCATCAAATGCCAATAGCACCCTGCTCTCTACAACAACAAAAAATTGCCTCCAGACATTGCCAAATACACCTCTGGGGCATGCAATTTATCAGGTTGATTATATAGATTTGATTTCAGCATCATAATTTTATTGCTTTCATAAAAATAAAAACAAACCATTTTTTATATTCTAGCTTAAATGTTATCTTGTCCATGAAACTTTCTTCAGTGCTCCTTTTTCTTGTCCTACATTAATTGTTTTTCTAACAAATTCTTATTATAGGATTCTGCCCTACTCTACTGATCTGTGCCTCACTCAAACTCAGTTTTGTTAACTTTTAGGGGGCAGGAGTTTCCAGTAAGATATGAGAGAGCTCATAAAAGACATGAAGTTTGCCTTTGAAAACCATAAAGTCACAAATATTTATAAGTATCTCAGCTTTCATGTCAGAAGGTTTCTCAAATATCAGGTAATTTGAAAGCTGCCATTGATTCAATCAAAAGTAAACAGGAAAGGTAGCAAATATTTTTCACATAATCTCCGCTACCTTGCCAGATTCTGAGACAGCAGCTTATACTACATGTTTTTTTTAGGAAATACATTTTAATAATGGTTTAGTACAGAGATACACCTCAGACATGTTTTTTAAATCAATACTTGCCTTTACTGTGTGTGTAATACCTTATATTTTCTATCATTCCTTTTTTCCATTAAATACTTGTTATCACCCAGTAAATTCATAGCATAGATCGCAGCTCACCATTTGAAAGCCATTGTTCTAAGGAGTATCTTTGAGTAATGTACAGGTAATCTACTTCTGATATGTATCACCGTTGGGTTTTCCCATTTTTCTTCAAAAAATGGGTTGTCCCATTTTTCTTTTAAAAAATAATGTCATTTTTAATGTGTGCCAGTCTCTGGTATAAGATAATATCTCATAGTTGTTTTCATTTGCACTTCCCTGATGATTAGTTATTGTGAACTACAGTGCCTAAAAGGATAAACTTTGAGGGATGAGAGAAGAAAAATGTCTTGGGGTGGGTGTAAGGGGCTGGGGAAATTAGTGACTGGAATTGTACACTGGTGAAGGCCATGGGGGTTGGGATATTGTGTGATTGAAATTCAATCATGAACAACTTTGTAACTGTACACACTGTGTTTCAATAAAATAAATAATGCCATGTAAGAATTGGCACAGCTTTGGCTAGAAAAGTACTAGAGTGGCTAGGGCACTTGCCTTGCATGTGGTTGACCAGGTTTGATTCCTGGCATCCCATACAGTGCCTGAGCCCTGCCAGGAGTGATCCCTGAGTACAAATCCAGGAGTAAGCCCTGAACACAGCATATGGTCCAAAAACAACAAAAAATTTTTGACACAATAAAGACCTTGGAACACATCAACCACAGCCATTTAGATTTCCAATTTCTTTGAATACTTTATCAGTTGCTCTAAATATTTAGTGTATATAGGCATTGTGGCTCCAAGAGCCTATTTGGTTTTCATGCCCAAAAGTTATAGTGAAAAATCCTAGAGGAGTGCTTGTCTAGCATGCAGCAGCTGCTGTGAGCCTGATTCAATTACCAGTTTTGAGTATGGTACCCCGTTCACAGAGCCAGGTGTGGCCCCTGAGAGCCAATTGCTATGTCCCTCTCCACCCCGTAAAAGAAAATTATACTCATTGAGGTATACAGGACTTGTTCTTATTTGAAATGAGGTTAAAATAACTGAAAAATGGAAAGTATGATAAAGTGCTAAAAATGGAATAAACTTATTTTAGCTTTATTGTAGTTATAAAATGAAGTTGAATTCAAGAGAGTAATTAGAAATTCGAATTCACAATGGCTTTGATATGTCAATCTTTGCCCTACAATGAAGTTAACATCGAATTACTAGGCTTACCTGGAATAAAGATGACTTTATAAAGGACAGTGGAAATGAATGCTACTTTGAGCCTTGGAGAGAGAGTACAGTGGGTAGGGTGCTTGCCTTGTAAGTAGCTGACCTAAGTTTGATCCCTGGTACCCCAAATGGTCTGATACACACTGTCAGAAGTGATCCCTTAGCACAGATCAGGGAATAAGCCTGAACACTGCTAGGTGTGGCCCCAAAACAAAGAGAATGCTCATCTGTCAAACCTATAAGGTTACTATCCTATGTATCAATTGCTCTGAGTTGAGTAGAAATGGGTTTTTAAAAAGTTATACTATTTTGACCATATATATTGGCTTGGTAGGCCTGGACTTCTTCCTTCTCTAAAGAGAATTTGGTGACCCCAGAATGTTAAGTCACCACGAGGTGAGGTTGAGAAACCTTGAGAAACCAAGCAGTGAACTGTTCTGGACTATCATATTTTTTCCTTGGAAACCTTTGAAGTGGTACTGCCCCCCACCCCCAGCCTGTACCTGGTCATGCTCAAGAAACAATGCAGTGCCAGGGACCCCATGCTTGCCTGGTATGCATCCCAGCCCTTTGAGCTATCTCCCAGTCTCTTTGTGTCTTTTTGAACTGTTTCTCTCTCCGTGGTATAACTTAGATTTGAGTTACTATAGACATTAATTTGACCTAAAAGAAAAGAAGATTCACCTTGGTGGGGAAGAAAACCACCTGCATATAGCATGCTGTCTACTAGTACTTAAAAGACACTAAAACTCTTGAGTTTTTTTTTAAATTTTCTATTTTGATGGGGAAGTTGTCAAAGAGTAACTATGTACTCATTTTCTCAGATTTCCAGGCTACTGAAAAGAAGGTGCTTTCAGAGATGGAGATGTGAATAAAATTCATGTGCCAGGGTTCATAAAACATCTTCTAAGGTATTTAAAAAAGAACAAGACTTTTTTTGGGTTTGCTTTGATTTTGGTGTTTGAGCCCCCATTTGGCATTGCTCAGGGCTTATTTCTGTCTCTTGGATCATTCCTGGAAGTGCTCAGAAGACCATATGCAAGTGCCTTATCTGCTGTAAGATCTCTCAGACCCTAGACTTTAAAAGAGTAGCTTTTAATGTACATAAAATGTGGGAAGTTAGTACTGAGTTCCCATATACCCCACACCCAGTTTCATGTATCACTCACAGCCTATATTAGCGTGGTACATTTTTTGTTGTTTGGAGGCCACACCTGGCTTTATGCTTGGTTTTCACTGCTTGACAGTGCCTGGCACTCCACGTGGTGCTGGGGATCAAACTTGGGCTCGCACATGTTTGGCTCTGTGCCCCCGCATGGTACGTTTCTTAAAATTGACCAGTATTAAAATACTGTTATTGACTAAAGTCCCTATCTAATTAATACTGTATCAGTTTTTACCTACTGTGCTTTTTCTGTTTCAGAGTATTGCCAGGATACTGGATTGCGTTTACTCATCATGTTTCCTTAGGCTCTTCTTGACTGGGATAGTGTCTCAGATTTGCGTTGTTTTGATGACCTTGTCAAATTTGAGGAAAACTTATCAGGTATTTTGTAGAGTGCTTCTTAATTGGAATTTTCTGATTTTTTTAATGGGCAAACTGGGACTATGGGTGTTTAGAAGGAAGAACACAGGTGAAGTGCCATTCTCACATTCTTACCATATTAAGACGATCGACCAGCATTTCCCAAAGAGGGCAGTACTCCCCCAGTGATACTGGAATAAACCTGGGGGATGGGCAACTGGCAGGGGAAGAGAGTGCTGTTTGTTACCTTAAAGAAGGTCAATTTCCAGGGAGGGATGTTGAATTATTTTTCTTTTTCTGAAAAGGAGGTGATCAGCCAAGTAAGCTTGGGAGCCTCTGATGGAATCTATCAATGAGTTCTCAGTTAACATTGATTTTGGTTGTGTGGCTAACACAGTTTGTTACCTTTCTCCTCTATGGGGTCACTCTTTATTACTATTTTTAAACCCACTTCTGTACTGTACTGCATAGAGAGAAATAATTATTTGTAATCCACATTCAGATATTAGGGAGTTATGGTCCATTTTCTGAGGGTGAGTTGCCTACATAAATTATTGGGGATTCTTCTGCATGGAAGATTTGTGTTTCTTCCCCCATTTATTTATTTTTATTATCTTTGTATTGGTTTGACATCTTGGATGTTTATTTATACTTCTGTCCATAATCTGAGTCATACTGCTACTTAATTTTGTTGCCATATTTTATCAGCTTTGTCCACTGGGGGCTCTTCTGGCTGGCTCCTGTGACTGCTTTGACATGCCCCCAGCATCATGGTTGAAACATATTTTGAGTGCCTCCTTAGTTTCCAGTACCTCCAAGTATAATCCAGGCTCATTTTTTATATCCCCTGCTCTGGTCAGAGGATAAATCCCCCCGTTCCTTTATATCCCTGACTCCCTTCATCGAAGAATGTTATTGGAAATCAAGATCCAGTTGCTAGGTGTATGTGCTGGTTGCTCCTGAGACAGACCTGCATGATGAAGTTTTGCATTCAGAATTAGTATGTCAGTAGCCATGCTACTAGTGCTATATTATCCTTAATCCTCTCTATTAAACACATTTCAGGTGCACAGTCCTAGAAAATGTCAGTGAGTAAAGCAAGGCTATACCTCAGTGCCTGGGACACTTAAGTGTGGGGAACTAGGCCAGCTCTTCGCAGAGACAGTTGAAGCCTCAGCATTAGCAGTTGTTTCCTACTGTTGGTAATCTTCTGATTTTTCATAGGAAAGCTAACTAGCCAAACTTTTATGCAAAATTTTCAAGTTTTAATGTGTGGTTCACCTATTCCCCTCCTTACCACCACCCCCAAACATTGCTAGGTCCAAACCATCAGTTTGATGGGCTGAATCTGCCCACAGATTATTGGCTTATAACCTCTGATATAATTATTTCAGGAAGTGAGCTAAGATTCTGGCAAAAAATAAAGCACCCAGGGCCATAACACCCTGCTTCCATATTTGTTGAACTCTGAAAAGGCTATAGAAATGGAGTGCTTGGTGTTGAGATAGTTATTCCTAGATTGTGGAGAATTGCCAAATTAGGCAGCAAAAGAATCTCTGAGGTAGTTTCTTCTCTGACTGTAAAGAGGACTGCTGTTGAGAGAAATCCCAAGAATTGCTTTTTGACACATATAGTATACTGCGACTTGTGATACCAGCACACCTGAATTAAGGGGGTAGCTGTACCATCAGAGAAAGCCTGAGTGGGCAGCTATCACTCATTGCTGAGCATCCTGTCTTGGCCCCTTAGTCTCCAGTCTGCCTTCAGGAATTAGCATTGCCCCACAGAGCTAACAGGCAATAAGAGCTCCACCATGCAAAATCTCTTGGCTTACATGACTTCATTGAGAATTATAGGATTTCCACCTCAATGTTTCTTTCTTGGTCCAGGGTTACTGCCTACATCGCTCCACATTACACAGTTGTGGCCATATGTGCTTGAGTGGGGTTATTTCTTCCGTATTCTTGGAGTTTGGTTGCAGCGTAGCTGTTCCAGTTCACATGTTGATCAAGCCCCGTACCTGGCATTAAGTTAACGGACCAGCACTCATCCCTCCCAAGTTGTATGAAAAGTAGAGGCCTGTTATAATGGTGTTAGGAAAAATAGTCCATATGTATGGTATGTAGTTTGTTGCACACATTGAAATATGTAGACAGGAATTGATGGTACGGGGCTGGAGCGATAGCACAGCAGATAGGGCTTTGCATGCAGCTGACCCGGGTTCGATTCCCAGCATCCGCTATGGTCCCCCAAGCACCACTAGGAGTAATTCCTGAGTGCAGAGCCAGGAGTAACTCCTCTGCATTGCCGGGTTTGACCCAGAAAGCTAAAAAAAAAAAAAAATTGATGGTATGTTTTGATCTGCATCATATTCCAAATCTTTAAAATACTGTAGCAATGTAGCACTGTCTTCCCATTGTTCATCGATTTTCTCAAGCGGGCGCCAGTAATGTCTCCATTATGAGACTTGTTACTGTTTTTGACATATCGAATACGTCACAGGGAGCTTGCCATGCTTTGCCATGCGGGCAGAATACTCTCCGTAGCTTGTTGGGCTCTCTGAGAGGGGCGGAGGAATCGAACCCAGGTTGGCCGCATGCAAGGAAAATGCCCTACCCACTATGCTATTACTCTGGCCCCTTTAAAATACTATAATATAATAATAATGTTTTAGTTTAGTTATATTTTAGGGATTAAATACAAAAGTAAAGGTGGTGTTTTTAGGGAAATGGGCTGATCTTTTTGGCTTGAATATTTTCTATTTTGTTGGCTTACCCTTCCAGTGAGCAGAAAGGAAATTGCTTCCCCTTCCTTCTGTATTATCTCCCTTCCCTTACCCCTTCTGAGGTAATCTTAGTTCTATATAAGTATCTACTGGAATGTCTTTTAAAACATTTTATCATTTTTTATTGTATCAGTGACTTTAATTTTTGATTTTATTAAAGCACTGTGACTTCCAAAGTTACTCATAATTGAATTTTAGCCATACAGTATTGCAGCACTGATCCCATTAACACTGTCAGCTTTCCTTCACCAGTATTCCCAGGTTTCTTCTTATATCCCTCCCGGCTCCAGCCTGCCCTCTTGTAAGGCACCTTTCTATGTTCAGTTGTTAAAATTTGGGCCTCTTGATTTCACTGTTGACTCTGTGTTTTGGTTATTTGGCTCTTTCATTCCTTAACACCACCTTTGTGCCTTAATCCCCTAACCTGGCCCCCATTGCTTCTCATCTGTCTCTTCTCTCCCACCCCTCTACTCTTTCCTTCCTTCTCCTTCATATACTCTAGGGCCGATGTTTATCTTGGGATCCTCCATAAAAAGATTGCATTCCCTCATCCTGTTATTCTAAACACATATAAGTGGTATCATCCTATGTGTATATTCTTCCTTCTGGTTTATTTCACTTAACATGTCTTCCAGTTCCATCCATGTTGCTGTGAATTGCATGATTTCATCATTCCTTTTAGGTGTATAGTATTCGATTGTGTTTGTATACCACATCTTTATGATCCTCTTGGCTGTCATTGGACTTTTCGATTGATTCCAAATCTTAGTTACTATACTGAGGGTTGCTATGAATAATGTGCACATACATTCTTTTGAATGAATGTCTTTCTGTCCTGGGGATAGATACCCAAAAGTGAAATTCTGGGTCATATAGGAGCTCAATTCTGAGTATCCTTCATACTGTTTTCCACAGGGCTTGGTCCAAACAGTATTCCCAGCAGCGTGGGTGAGGGTCACTTTTTCACCACATCCCCCCTGGCACTTTATCACTGTCATCCCATTGTTTGTCGAATTACTTGAACGGGCGCCAGTAATGTCTATGTGTCCCAGCCCTGAGTTTTTTTTTGTTTTTGTTTTTGTTTTTTGCTTTTTGGGTCACACCCGGCGATGCACAGGGTTTACTCCTGGCTCTGCACTCAGAAATCACTCCTGGCAGTGCTCAGGGGACCATATGAGATGCTGGGAATCGAACCTGGGTCGGCTGTGTGCAAGGCAAACACCCTACCCGCTGTGCTGTCTCTCCAGCCCCTGCCCTGAGATTTTTAGCAGCTTCTCCTTACTTGTCTTTCCCAGCGATTGGAGGCTCTTTCAGGGTCGGGGGAATGAGACCTGTTATAGTTACTGTTTTTGGCATATCGAATACGCCACGGGGAGCTTGCCAGGCTCTGCCTGTGCTGGCAGGATATTCTCGGTAGCTTGCCGGGCTCTCCAAGGTGTGTGTGTGTGTGTGTGTGTGTGTGTGTGTGTGTATTTCTCTGTATGATTTGTTGCCTACTGTGTGAACTCCATCAAACACGGTGTGGTAATTATGGAAAATGGTTAGGAAGTGTATTATGATGTGTCATAAAACATCCACCCCCCCGAGATTAATCCAGTATTTCTGATATGTGCCATTCTCACAGGTGTGAGATGATATTGTCATCTTTTTATTACTTTTAATTTTCCATCAATTTTATATACTTATATTCCATATATGTGTAAAATCGAGTATTTTTTTCTTTTGACTTGTCTTCAAAAAAATTTCTTTGAGCTTCTTCCATTTTGTTGTTTGAGAAGGGCCATTTGGAGGTAGGATCAGGAGCTCTTGGCAGTGCTCAAGGAACTATGCAGCAATTTGAACCCAAGACTCCTACAAGCAGAGTATGTGCTTCAGCACTTGGAGCAATCTCCCCAGCCCTCATCTTTCTTATAGCTAAGTAGTATTCCAGTGTACAATATGCTATATCTCTGTGCACTCATCTATTAATGAGCACTTCAGTTGACTGCTCTAAATAGCATGGCAGTAAGCATACTGATCAGACCCAGGTACCGGGGGGCAAACGAGCCATATCTGTGGTGCTCGTAATGAGGATATGTAGTGGGAGATGGAATCTGGAGCATTGCAGATGCAAAACATGTGCTCCATCCAATTGAGCAATCTCCAGGCTCTACCTTTTATTTTTTTTTTTGTTCGTTGACACATTCAGTATTGCTGGGGGCTACTTCTAGTGCCCCAGGGGCTCCTGGGGATCATGCAGTGTCAGGGGTTGAACCCTCACCTGTAGCTTGCACATACTCTAGTCTTTAAGCAATTAATACTTATCAATCTTAAAAAGACTTGACCATCAAAATCTAGTGAGTGAACTCATTAGTAATTGGAGATTGTAAGTATATATTTCACCTTTTACGAAAGAAAAATTTGGGACCAAAGAGATAACTCAAAGGCAATGCTGGAAGGACTGATTTTCCTGGAAGCTCCTGACCTTGGAGCTGAAAGTAGCCCCTCAGCACTCAGCCCCTCCCTCCTCTCCCCCCAAAATTTAAAAGTGAAATATGGATTAAAAGATTAAGGAGTGGGGCTGAAGAGATCGTACAGCGGGTAGGGCGTTTGCCTTGCATGTGGCTGACCCGGGTTTGATTCCCAGCATCCCATGTGGTCCCCTGAGCAGCGCCAGGAGTAACTCCTGAGTGCAGAGCCAGGAGTAACCCCTGTGCATTGCCAGGTGTGACCCAACAAGCACCATCTCTCTGGCCCCATTTACTGCTACTTTTTTAAAAGCACTAAAATGGAGCTGAAGCATTGAGATTTGAGGTGGTGGTTATTTTTTGACAGGCGTGGGAGTGGAGAGTTGTGTTGTTTTGCCGTGGAGATCATGTCCAGTGGTGCTGGGAGTTGGGGGCCAAATCCTGAGATCAGCCATCAGGTCCACATGTAGCAGTGCTTGGGGTGGGGGGTGACAAAATTAAGGTTTATACATACTCAGCTATTTAAGTCACCTCCCTGGATTGGGAGTGTTTTTAAACCAGTTGTGGGCTGTATTAGAAGTCACCTTTTTTGTTTTGGGACCACACTATGGCAGGGCTTGAGGGACTGTATGGTTCCTTTCCTGGCACCCAGGTCTTTGACGCTATTGAACTTGTTAATTTTTCAACTTTGGAATTAGGTACAACTTAGTGTAGTTCTGTCCATTTTACTAAGTTGTTGTTTTCCATTTGAATAAAGTAAAAGATGTCATTAAATCTAACTCTTTTTCTTTTACTAGAAAATGACTGCAGTATTGGAAGATCACTACTATTGGAAGGCTGGTTAGCGTTCATTTCCTCAGAGAAACTTGACCACCATTTGTTCTGGCATGGCGCAGAGCGGTCCACAGCTTGATATTCAGGTTCTCCATGACCTCCGACAACGTTTCCCTGAGATTCCAGAGGGTGTGGTGTCTCAGTGCATGTTACAGGTAGATTATCTACTAATGACAGTGTACTAAATTAGAGCTTCCCTTATTAAAGCTGGATTTGTGTTGTGACTATAACTCAGTTAAGTTTGCTTATGGATGGTGGTAGTCGGGGGAATCTTTAGAGCAAGAATTTTCAACCTTGGTGCTGTTGATATTGTGGACTGGAAATCTCTATTGTTAGGGGGCATCCGACTTGTGCATTGGAGGATTAGTATCATGTTTGGCCCCCACTCACTGGGTCCCAGTAATTTTCCCTCTGAGTGACTACTGAAAATATCTCCAAACATTGCCAGATATTTCCAGGGAAGCAAAATCTCCCCCCCCCCCCATTGAAAATTGTTGATTTGAGAAAAGTAAAGGCCTGATTTAACAAAAAAAGTTTCTTCATACTTCACTTCCTACTTGGGGGCGTGTTATCAGTCCTCAGATTGTTGAGAATAGGATTTTGAATCTCAAATTCATCATTTAGATGTTTTTCAGCTATATACTTTGAGCCTGTTTTTAAGAAGTCTGTAGTGAGTCACTCCCTTTCTTGCTAGTTAGTAAATGCTTACATATTAAGATCCAATTTGTCCTATAAGACCAATTTAGTTTAATCACTTTTTATGTAATTTTCTATCGAAGGCGTTCAATTATGAGATACAAATGTCTTCCCATTCAAGAGGCCACAGAGAAACAGACCCTGTTGAGTTTTGTATCATCCTTCAGGATCCCTAGAATCTCAGTATTTGGGGTTAAGACATTTTCTTACCTAGTTGGCTTGCGAAGAGTACTTTTTCATTTTCATTTATTTTTGTTTTTAAATTTTACTTGAGGCATCATGATTTACAATAATGTTGATAGGGTTTTATGCAATGAACATTCTAACTCCACACCCTCCACTGCAGTGTCTGCTTCTCTCTACCATTGTCTCAGGCCCTCCAACCCCATGGCTATGTTCAGTTCTGTAGACCAGTTCTTAGACTTCGTTGCCTTTAGTTTGCTTTTGTTTTTGGCCTCTCCTGGTGATGCTCAAGTGTTACTTGTGGCTCTGCACTCAGGAATTACTCCTGGAAGTGCTCAGGGGACCACATGAAATGCTAGGGTTTGAACCCAGGTCAGCCACATGTTCTGGCCTAGACTTTGTTACCATCAGGCATTTATTATTCGCTTACTATGTTTCTTTATAGCCCATGTATGAGAGATATCATTTCATATCAGGGAACAGTACTTTCTCTTGCTCACTGGACCTCCTCATCTACAGCCAGTTCACTTTCTACCTTACTGTGGAATATGCAAACTCTAGCCTAATGTAGTCTGCACACTTTATCACCTAAACCTATACAAAGCTGAGAATGATTACAAATAGACTCATAGAACATGGCGGTAACAGGTATTTCCTTTACTTGCAAAACCCTCTAGCTGCTGCAAACTTGCCTATTCTTTTCGTCTATTTCTAATCTGAATTAAGCACTTCAGCTTGATTTTTGTCTCTGGTAGAGCAAAGGTATTTCTAAGTGAGGCTTCTAGTTTAAACAGTTTCTTCAGAGTTTTTACCTAGCTTGACCCTTTTTAAAAATTTTAACGTCATTTTATCTTTTTATTGCCAGTATTTTTGTTTTACGACTGAAGTGCCTTCATCTTGCTTAACTAAAGTAACTTTAAATTCAACTCAGTGAGGGGCCAAAGAGATAGTGCAGTGGGTAAAGAGTTGCCTTGCACAAAGATGACCGTGTTTGATCCCTGGCACCCATGCTGCCAGGACTGATCTCTGAGCATAAAGTCATGAGTAAGCCCTGAGCACCACTGGATGTAGCTCAAAAAAAGAAATTAATTCAGTGATGTTGATAACTTTCGCTATCCTAATCTTAGTTTCTTTAGGATTAGTAGAGTGTCTGGCAAGCTACCTGTGACGTATTCAGTATGCCAAACACAGTAACAAGTGTCACAATGGAGATGTTACTGGGCCCGCTCAAGCAAAATTGATGAACAAAGGGAGGACAGTGACAGTTGTTCTGGAATTGCGTGGAATTGGATTAGTAGAGTGTAGTTGTTCTCTATTTGCATGTAAAAGAGACCTTACAGTTTCTTTCTGGACGTCATCTTTTAATTTAGGATGGCTTTTTTTTAGGAATATGATCCCCCTTTTCATACTTCAGTTGAGGATCACTTATTTTTTTTAGGAGTATAGTATCTCTTGCCCCATTTCTTTCAAAAGTGTTCATATGATTTCTTATATGTTCTGACTTATCCAGTTAAATTATTTTGATTTAACTGCTATTATATGTTTGATATTTTTTTTCTGCTTTATCTTTGGAGTGGGAGGACCCACACTTACTGGAGTTCAGGACTCTCAGGAGAGCGATTGTTATTAACCAGACTGCCTGATTCCACATAGCAAAAAAAATTAGAATTATTAGTAAATAGCCAGCTGGAGCAATAGCACAGCAGGTAGAGCGTTTGCCTTGCATGTGGTTGACCCAGGTTCTATTCCTCCATCCCTCTTGGAGAGCCCGGCAAACTACAGAGAGTATCCCGCCCGCACAGCAGAGCCTGGCCAGCTCCCTGTGACATATTCGATATGCCAAAAACAGTAACAACAAATCTCACAATGGAGATGTTACTGGTGCCCGCTTGAGCAAATCAATGAACAACGAGAGGACAGTGCTTAGTAAAATGCCAAATAATAAAGTCCATAATGACTGCTGTAGATTTCAAATAAAATTCAGTTTTCCTCTCTATCCAAGGTTTCTAATAAACTGTGAAGGGAGTGCTTTATTTCTGTATACGTTTCTGTTCATCACTGCCAGTGATGTTTTCCAGTTGACAATCAGTTTGAACCCTCTAAATTTGCTTATTTAGCCTCTTTCCATTGATCAGTATGATTTTCATGCAATAAAAAAGTCAAAACACCGAGTTCTAATTATTTTTTCCTTAATCTTCAGTAAACATTTTCCTGTGGCTCCAAGTGTTTTATTTTTAAAGTATTTGAATATTAGTATTATAAAAGGAACAGGATGAAAGTTAGCTATGGAGTTTTGATAAAAGCAACTTTTTAAATTTTTGAAAATTCATTTTGCAAAAGCTGCTGTATTGAATCTTATATTAGAATGCGCTTTGGCCTAACATCCTCTTCCTTGAAATTACTGTGTTACTGTGGAAAGAGAACTGGGAGTCAGGAGACCAGGAATCTAAAACTGGCTCTCCAGTTAGCTAGACAAGTTCCGGTTGTCAAACCATATAATTTGCCAGGTGTCTTTTTCCTCATTTCTGAGAGTTGAATATGAGTATAAAAGCCATAAGAGTTCCTCCACCTCTAAAGTTGTCCTTATTTTAGGTTTAACTATACTTATTTCTCAACAAAAGTAAAATTTCCCCCATTTTTATATAGAATCTATTATATAGAATCTACATAGAATCATTTTATATAGAATCTATTCTGTATTTATACAATAAAATTCTATATAAGTTCATTTATTTTATATAGATTTATAAAATAAACATAGTTGTATGTACATATGTGCCTGTCTGAATTTTCGTTTAGGAACTACAGACGATGTCACAATAATTGATAAGCTTTTATACACAATTTCAAAGGCAATGAATGATACTCTTCTAAGCTAATACAGTTATTTCTAATTCTGTATGTTAATGGAAAATTACCTTATATAATAAAATCTAAAATGCCAAACTTTTTTTTAGTTTGATTATTGTTAGAAACTCAGAAATATCAGCTTATTGCTACCTTGTTATTATCATCTTTGTTTCTGTGTGTATGGCTCAAGAACATTTCAAATTCTTAAATGATTTTGGAAATATACCAAAAGGTTTCTCAGCAGGTAAGACTTATGTGATTGGGAGTATGAATGGTTTTCATTAAGACCAGAGACCTAGGTTTTGTTAAACTACCATAACTTCGACAAAGTCATGGAACTTTACTCATAGTTCAAATATGGATTTCGTTTTTGGTTTATTTTGAGTGGCATCTTTGTAGCATTTAAACCTTTGATAATGATAGGAGAGTCCGGCAAGCTACTGAGGGTATCTCATCCGCATGGCAAAGCCTGGCAAGCTACCCATGACGTATTTGATATGCCAAACACAGTAACAAGTCTCACAATGTTACTGGGCCCACTTGAGCAAATCGATAAACAATGGGAGGACAGTGACAGTGACAGTTGAAGTTATATATGGATAAAATTTGGTTTAAAGTCTGCTTTAGAATTTATATTGTTTGACTGTAGAAATTTTATGATAATTTCCCCCACCACTGTTGTGGTTTCAGTACCTTCTGAAAACTAACGCATGGTTATTTTGATGTTTATCACTTTAAATATTCATGATGGATATTACCTATAATTGTTTATTTCAGCAATTGTGATGAATCCATGATTAGCCCAGCATTTAAATTTGTTGAGATGAAGCAAGTATCCTGGATTCGAAGTCAGAAAACTTGGGGTTCAATCACAGTGTTCATTACTAGGTGCTTTATATTTCTGTGGCAGTAGCTGTAGTGGTCATACTAGTCATATGAGCTAATTGTAAAATAATAGGAATTATTTGATACTTGCTTTTCAGGATTGGTGACCATGAAGCTTTTGTATGTAAAATACCCTAGCCTACTTGTTCTCTGGAAATTTTATATTTGCATAAAACTTGAGTTTGACTTCACTGTGGACAATTTGTTAATTTTTTTCTTGTGTTTATTATTTGTTTCACTAGAATAACAACAATCTTGAAGCCTGTTGCCGAGCCCTTTCCCAGGAAAGCAGTAAATATTTATATATGGAATACCATAGTCCGGATGACAACAGGATGAATAGAAATCGCCTTTTGCATATTAACCTGGGTATCCATTCCCCTGGGAGCTACCATCCAGGAGATGGAGCACAGCTTAATGGTGGCCGAACACTGGTACATAGCTCAAGTGATGGACATATTGATCCACAGCATGCAGCAGGTAAACAGCTGATATGTTTAGTTCAGGAACCACATTCAGCACCAGCTGTGGTGGCTGCTACTCCCAATTACAATCCATTTTTTATGAATGAACAGAACAGAAGTGCAGCTACTCCTCCTTCACAGCCACCTCAACAGCCATCTTCCATGCAAACAGGAATGAATCCATCTGCTATGCAAGGGCCTTCACCGCCGCCGCCTCCTTCATACATGCACATACCTCGGTATAGTACAAATCCAATTACTGTTACAGTATCCCAAAACCTCCCTTCTGGACACACTGTACCAAGAGCTTTACAAATTCTTCCACAAATTCCAAGCAATCTCTATGGGTCTCCTGGTTCTATTTATATTAGACAGACATCTCAGAGCTCATCAGGAAGACAAACGCCTCAAAGTATGCCATGGCAGTCCTCACCACAGGGCCCAGTGCCTCATTATAACCAACGTCCTTTACCTGTTTATTCACATCAACCGAACTATCAGCCTTCTCAGTATTCTCCCAAACAGCAACAGATCCCTCAACCCACCTACCATTCACCACCTCCTTCTCAGTGTCCTTCGCCCTTCAGCTCTCCACAACATCAGGTGCAACCTTCCCCATTGGGCCACCCAACTTCCCACATCTTTATGCCACCAAGTCCTTCAACTACCCCACCCCACCTATATCAACAAGGACCTCCTAGCTATCAGAAACAGGGAAGTCATTCAGTAGCCTATCTTCCATATGCAACCCCTGGCTTATCCAAAGGATCCATGAAGAAGATAGAAATTACAGTTGAGCCCTCTCAAAGACCTGGGACAGCAATTAATAGGAGTCCTTCACCTATCAGTAATCAGCCGTCTCCTCGGAATCAACACTCAATGTACACAGCTACCACACCACCTTCAAGTTCTCCTTCACGAGGAATATCAGGTCAACCCAAACCTCCATTTAGTGTTAATCCTGTGTATATTACATATACACAACCAACTGGACCTTCATGTGCTCCATCACCATCTCCACGGGTGATACCAAACCCAACTACAGTTTTTAAAATTACTGTCGGCCGAGCAGTGACTGAAAATCTTTTAAATTTAGTGGACCAAGAAGATCAGTCTGCAGCCCCAGAACCTATTCAACCCATTTCAGTAGTACCAGGCTCTGGGGGTGAAAAGGGGAGCCATAAATATCAAAGGAGTTCTAGTTCTGGATCCGATGACTATGCCTATACCCAAGGTAAGTCTTGCCCTTTAATAAAATTTAATCTTCATGGTGAGTCAGCAATCTTGAATTCAAAGTAAAGTAGCTTATATTAACCATTTAATTTACTGTAGCACTGTCCTCCCATTGTTCATCAATTTGCTGGAGTGGGCCCAGTAACATCTCCATTGTGAGACTTGTTGTTACTGTGTTTGGCTTATTGAATATGCCACGGGTAGCTTGCCAGGCTTTGCCGTGTAGGCAAAATACTCTTGGTAGCTTGATGGGCTCTCCGAGAGGGGCGGAGAAATCGAACCTGGGTTGGCCGGGCCAGTCTCGCAACAAGGAAAATGCCTTACCGCTGTGCTATGTATTTACTAAATATTGGGAATAGCATGGTTATGAAGAATAAGTTTTTTAAAAATATGGTTACTGCTTCAGAGATGTATACAGACTTCATTTTAAAATATGAAGATGTAAGCTTGGCAACTGCAACCTAATAAGATTTGGGAGGAAGAATATCAGCAGAATAGAAGTGAAATCAGTATTGTCAAAATTATAAAGTAGGGTGGGCATTTCATCAGGGTGAAAGAATTTGCTTTTGGTGCAAGGGCCACAACTCTTAGTTTATTAAGGGGCCACAACTCCCAGTACTTAGGGTACCACAGGCAGTGCCAGAGATGGAACCTGGGTTGGCCATATGCAGAGCAAGCACCTTAAGTCCGTATTGTCTCTCTGGTCCCAGAATTTGAATCTTGGTCCATGGAGATAGCTAAAAGGACTGGAGCACATGCAGAAGCCTCGGGTTTGATTCCCAAGCAGTGCGTGGTCCCCAGAGAACCACTGGATGTGATGTAAAAATAGGTAAATTAAAAAAAAAATTTAAAGAGATTGGGCTAAAGGGCATAATGATATTAAACAAGTAATAATGTATTTGTAAAAAGTAGGACTGGAAGCACCAAACAGAGTACAGCAGCGTGCCTTGCAGATGGCACACCTGGGTTCAATAACTGGCACCTTATATAGTTCCCTGAACCCAGCTGGGTATGGCCCCAAAACAAATAAAATAGTGGGACTGAAAAGAAAGAACATTGTTGGATTAGTTAATGGTAGATGTAACTAATAAGGTAAAGGTAAAGGCCCTCCCGTTGATCGTCGATTTGCTCGAGCGGGCCCAGTAACGTCTCCATTGGAGACTTTGTTGTTACTGTGTCTGGCATATTGAATACTCTCGGTAGCTTGCCGGGCTCTCATATAAAAAAGAATTTTTCCAGATAGCTTCTAGTTTCAAGAAACGAGATTTTAGTATTCTTTTTGTATAGAATTGATAGTAATTCAATATACCAAGTATTGAGCCTGTTTAAAGCACACAAAGTTGTAGTAAAAAAGAATCTCAGGAGGGGGCTGGAGCAATAGTACAGCAGGTAGGGCGTTTGCCTTGCACGCGGCCAACCCGGGTTTGATTCCCAGCATCCCATATGGTCCCCCAGCACTGCCAGGAGTAATTCCTGAGTGCAGAGCTAGGAGTAACTCCTGTGCATTGCAAAAAAGAATCTCAGGAAAACTAAGAACATTAGAATAAGAGCAACATATAGGTTATGTCATTTTAGTGGTTGTTGCAAGTGCTGAAGCATTTATGGAAGGAGAATAGTGTTGGAAAGACAAGAGTAAAGGCCAGTTCAAGTCGGATGGCTGGGGTCTTTATATGCTACTTAGTAGTCATGCATATAGAAAAATTTCCCATCCCTTGTTCAATGCTATTCTCTGCAATGACTTTGTCTGTAATGCTGTAGCCTTGCTGTTACATCAACGAGCAAGGATGGAGAGGTTAGCAAAGCAGTTGAAACTTGAGAAAGAGGAGCTAGACCGATTGAAGGCTGAAGTTAATGGTATGGAGCATGACCTGATGCAGAGACGGCTCAGGAGGGTCAGCTGCACCACTGCAATTCCAACGGTAAGTCATCTCTTGGACTGTGTGGATATGAAGGCTGTCCCCGCCATTTTATCCCTTTAGGTTCTGTTCCTGGCTGGTTTTCAATTTTGGTTTTTGAAAATGAACGTATTTCCTTCTGCCTTCAGCAGTTCTTGTCATACTGATGAGAGGCTTTCCTATTTTCACACGTAGGAATTCCATAGCCTCATCAGTATTCCCAAATACTGACAATTATAATCAAGGTATAGTGTCTAACTACAATTGACTTTCTGTCAAAATAAAAATGAAAAGTGCACCCTTAGTTATCTCTTTAAGATAGATGTATTTTTCAAACATTGTAAAATTAGTTTTCTCACATTTTGGGAAAGTGTTGAATATAAACATTCTTGAAATTTTTGAAAGATGTCTCCTAAAATCTTGTGACATTCCGCTATCCAACTTATCATTCCACCTTTCAATGTTCATTCAACAAGCATTGCAATCTGAGTGTGGTGTTTTTAGTGTGTACCTACTAGTAGAAGTAGATCCCATCAACAGATAACCATAATGCAGCATGGTAAGTGCTGTATGGTCAAAGGTAATGAGAGAATTCCCGCATCAAGTAGTTTCTGTAGATACTCAATTCATTTCTCTTCTTCCTCAACATTATCCTTCTGCTGGAATGTCATTCTGAAGCTCTGCATGTACAAATCCTGTCTGTTCTTCAAGGTTTACCTTAACCTCTTTTTTGACAGCGTTTCCTCATTTTTCTACCCTCCCTGAGGGCAATCTCTTTACGTTTAGAGAAGAGAGAAGGTCCATGACTTCCAAGGATGTCTCTGAATCCCTAATAACAGAGTTTCCAATTGGAAGTGGAGTCATAGTTTTCATCCAATTCTCATCAGGTTAATAAAGAGTGGAAGAGAAAAGAGAGAAAGAGAGAAGGGAGAAACATTTTAGAAGGGAAGAGAACATGAGATTAATCAATACAGATTGACTATTAAGAGGTAATGCTTAGAGTTCCCCCCTGTAAACTTAGATACCTGTTGTCTTAAAAGAGGATAATATGAATGGGGAGAGTTGGAATGTAGCTTTGAATGCTATTTTGAAGTGTTTTAAATTTTTGTCTGCTGGTAACAAGTAGTGGAAATTTTTAAAAGACTATTGAAAGTAAGCATATTTAATAACTTCAAAATGTTCTCTAATGTTGACTGAATTCCTAAGTGTATTCAATATTAGAAGTGAGAAGGGAAGATTTTAATTAAACTACTTGGTGTCTTGAAGTTGTATAAAAGAGCATTTGCCTCACATGTTTGATCCCTGCACTGCAAAAATTAACACTTGGAAAATAGCAAAGTTATCAACTGAAAGAAGACATTCATGTAAATCTAATTCCTGTTTCATATTTTTATTCACTTGGAAGTCATGTCTTAATTGAATCATCTAGTTGGAAAAATATTGAAGAAAGTTACCTATAAGGAATGCACCCATCCTGCTTCAGTACTTAGTAGTCCTTTAGGTATTTCTAGAGCATAAACAGTTTTTTTAATGTAAATTTCATTTTTTTCCTAACATAACTATGTACACTGTTTAGCTACATCTTGCTGTGTGGTAGTCTTTGCTAAATAAAACCCTATTGATTTGTTGTTGGAGAGCTATCCAGTGTAGTATAGGTTTGTGCTTTTAAAACAAAATTATGTGAGAGCTTTTGTTGATAAGACTAATTTAGAAAAAGGAGGACGTTGGTGAAACTGCTGCCTTGAGCTATGATTTTTAACTCTATTATAGAAAAATTTTAGATGCATATGATAGATTTATATATAGAACCCCCATGTAGACACTACCCAGTTTCAGAAATCTTTAGCCCCTGTAGGTAATAGTACCGCAGAGATAAGAAATTCAAGTGTGATTCCCTTCACTTAGAGTAAAATGGAGGGTAATATGGAGGACTTTTAAGTTAGGTATGAATTTGATTCCTATGTCTATTTATATATACTCATGTCCTATGATAAGAAATCAAGCACAGAGAGAGTTACTTATCCACAGTACGCATGAGTACCTATCTTATGGGATTTTTGTTTGAATTAAATAAAATAAGCAGATTATACAATGCCTACCCAAAATAGTGTACCCAAAATATTTTAAAATATTTGTTGCAGAAAATGGGAAAGTATGATTGAGATATATACACATAAACAAATCTGTAACCTCTTTTAAACCTTTTATCTATTTGGGGGGATGGGGACCGTTTTCATAATCAAATCTAGTTCATATGTATGCAGTGTGTGCTTTATCACATCCCAGACTTTGATTTACTTATAACTTAAGGAACACGAATAATTAAACAATAATATATGGTTAACTAATTAAGAAATATTTAGTCAGTGTTCCTTTTTTTTGTTCATTTGGGCACCATGACACAGTGGAAAGCGAGTTCAGATAGGGTACGGAACTATGTGACTTCCTCTAACTTCCGTGCTTTGATTTTTCCCATTTATGAATGGAAATTTTATAACAAATACACCGTAATTTTGTAATCAGTATAAGACTAAAGTGTATAGAGGATTATGCATTGGGGCTCTTTTGCTTTTTTGCTCTTAAGCATATAATTTTATCTTCAAGTTTATATCAGTGTCTCAAAATACATATGCTTAATAGAACTGGAATGAATATTTGCGACCAGCCATATTGTAAGTTGCAAAAGCTTAGGGAAAAGCGCAAGATGTGTGACCACAATCATTTCTCTAAATCTGCTACTTGTAAAAAATGCACTGTATTAAATGTGGAAGATATCATCTAACACAGATATGTATATGAAAGAGTAAATATGTTGATCTATAAACCTGTATAAGTTTATATTGATATAGAAAAGATAAGACAGTAAATCAGAAGTGCTGGCCAACTAAATGGTAATACTATCAATTAAGTACCTTTAGTGTTCTGAGGTAGATAATAGCTTTTTATTATTAGGGTTCAAAGATGTGACAGTTTCATGGAAGAGAGGGAATTTAAATTATATATTGCGGATTAATAGTTCAAGATGCAGAGAGCTGCCAATTACCCTTCTAAGGTATCCTCCCTTGTTCTGACAAGTTTGTCTTTTTTGACAAACCCACAGTTTTGAGTACCAAATGCATTAATTGGGGCCAGGCCACCAGAGTATCAGAGGTCTTCAAAGTCAGTTAGTCACTGTAAAACAGTAACTTAAAGTGCTGAGACAGTTGACTAAGACATTTCTGCCATCGTTTAAAAATGTTTAGAATTTTTCACATTGAAATGTCAGAGATTCTAGTATTTTACAAACAACTGCTACACACAGCGATCTTGAAACCCCTCCACCATGAAAGTACAGTGTGCTTTTTGACAAATGATGGTAACTTTCCAGAAACAGCTAAAAATACTATGGAAAAAGGACATAGGAATCTTACAGATAAACAGTTCAGTAAGTTTCAGTAGTTGTACTGTCTTTGGGAAGGAGCCATTTGAGAAGTTTGTTATAAGAAAATCTGTAGTAGTCTCTTCTTGACTATAATGTAATATGTATTATATTTCCATACTTTGTGACAGAGCGTTTATGAATATCTTGGCAGAAATATTCATCCTTCCTCAATAAATATAGGCTCCTTCAGATACTTGACTTTTCCAGATAAAGGGATAGTTCTTTCACATATCCTTCGGAAGATAGCGTCATATTTTGAAAACTTAAACAAGCATTTGCTCAGATATATTTTAAACTCTTAATACTGCCAAAGGGTAAGCAGTTGATGCAGTATCATCACATGTTTGCCCATAAGAATCTGGAAAGAAAAGCAATCCTTAATATTTCTAAATGACCTTAGTCTTCCTCTAGTATTCAAAGGAAGATGTTTCTTGATCTTTTTTATGGGGTCCCGTTTAGAAATACTATTCTAAGGGATTGTAGCTCACAATATATTCTGTTAGAGCATTTATCTTAAACTTAGACTAATTGAATGGACATTCCCAGTAATTCTGATAATGCCTCACAGCTGCATAAGATCTTGCATTATGGTGTACCAAAATAACTTTTTGCTCATTTTGACTCATTAACATACTTAGTAAAATACATGTTTTTAATAGGATTTTATTCTATCTCATTTTTTGAAATCACCATAGTAACATGTTCATACTTCAGCTATGCTGAAAGTTTTAGTAGTCAGGTCTCTGGAGTCTAAATCCTGATGTGTGTGTGTATACATACATATTAGAGAAATTCAGAATGGCATGTGGAGGCTTTCAAAAAGCTTTTAATAATTGAAGAGTAAGGCTCTCTTCGCATGTTATATACCTCTTAAAGACCTAATGAGTAGTCTAGGCTGGAAAGTTTGAGGGCAGAAGAAAGAAAAACTCTGAAAAGAATCTATTCCATTTGTTCTTGAAATTGTCTTTTATTATTTTGGTTTTTGAGCCAAACCCAGTGATTGTTAGGGGGAAATATGGGGTGCCAGGGATTGGACCTGATTGGCCATGTGCAAGGCAGGCACCTTACCCACTGTATTATCTCTCCAGCCCCTGCTCCTCTAATTTTCATGTACTCAACTGCATTATTCAGTCTAGGAAAAAAGATCTCTATATAATCCTATATTATAGAAGACATCTATTTAAATCTTTCTTCCATCAAGTTGTAGTTTTTAACAGAAAATTGGTAAAAAGGTAAAGGCCCTCCCGTTGATCATCGATTTGCTCGAGCGGGCCCAGTAACGTCTCCATTGGAGACTTTGTTGTTACTGTGTCTGGCATATCGAATACTCTCGGTAGCTTGACGGGCTCTCCGAGAGGGGCGGAGGAATCGAACTCGGGTCGGCCATGTTGGCCGCTTGTAAGGCAAACGCCCTACCGCTGTGCTATCGCTCCAGCCCTAACAGAAAATTATGAAACCTAAATCTACGCCTCAAATTGAAGATTGTATTAGTACTTAATTTGAAAGATACTGCAGGAAATAAAGAATTCTGGGGAAAATAGTGACTAACAACTTAGCAAGCACTAATTAAAATTAGTGATAATAGATTCTTTACCAGCCTGGATAAAACACAAAAATCATGTATGTTGCTTTTTCAGAAATTAGATATATGGTTTTCCTTATGAAAGCAAAATATCAGTGCTTTGTAATAGGGTAGCATATTTATTGTATTATAGAATGTAGTATAGTATTATAGCTCACCGCATTATAAGCGGATTTTTTTATATGTGGGCTTCTTGATGTCCACATTTTACTTATTCCTTTAATACCATACTTAGAAATGTAGGTCAAGGGGCTAGGCACATGCAGACCTGGTTTTGAGCCCCCATTCACCACCAGATTTCAGTGATCCCCCCCCAATATATGTATACATATATGACTTCTTAAATATGCCCTCTTAGGGTTAAGGCCATATATTTTGGTAATGACCAATCAGAATAGTTAACGTAAAATGAAGTTCTTAAATGTTGGGCTTGATAATGACTTTCCCACAATTGCTATTTTGGGTCCTTTCTTACTAGCCTGAGGAAATGACAAGATTGAGAAGCATGAACAGACAACTCCAGATAAATGTTGACTGTACACTGAAAGAAGTTGACCTCCTTCAATCTAGAGGTATAGACTTGATTATTTGTAAACCATAAATAATAGTGTGGTGTTTTTTAAAAATGCTTAAACAGCAATCACTTTGGTTTTAAAGATCTGAGAGTCCCCCATGCCATGATCAGAGATCAAATTTGGGGGTATCAAAACTTTTTCCTTAGCAATTTTATTATTAAGTTCCTATGTCGTTACTTTGCATTTATCCTTTTTGAATTTTATAAATTAATGGTTTTTCATTCTAAAAGTTAGTGTATTTCTATGTGATAGTCATTTGGAATGTCTGTAAATATAACAATCTCATGTTTGAATATGAGATTTCTTAGTTTTAAAAAATAAACTCCTATGCTAATTTTTGTTGTTTTAAGAAATAGTATTTTAGAATTTTCATCTTTTGGAAAAAAATTCTTATAGTAGTGTATTACAGTAGAAGCTCTCTTAACTGAGTTCATTTATCCAGCTCACCAGGTTAAAGGTGTTCTTCATTTGTAAACTGACTTATATGCACAGTCACTGCATACTCCTGAGAGACTTGCATTCTAGCATGGCTATGAACTATAGCTTCCATTAGTTTGCTTATCAAGAGTCAGTTGTGCCTTTTTTCCAAAACCCCTTGATGGCAGTTACTATCCTTCTGTAATTAAATGTTTCTTAAGCTGACATATGTGAAAATGAAGCTTCTCTTTCTATGAAAATGAAAAGCAAGGATGGAAAGAGGGCACAGGAGTTAAGGCGTTTGCTTTTGCTTTGCACTCAGCTGACCTTGTAAGGGCGTACAGTTCTCTGAGCATTGCAGGGAATGGCTACCTCTCCCAAAAAGACTTAAAAGTGACTGCTAAAGATTCAAAGGCAGATCACTGAAAAAAATGGAACTGCAAATTAAATATAGATAAAAAAAACAACTGCAAAGGTTTAAAAGGGGAAGATCAGAAAAATCTAAGCAGATTCTGTCCTCATTGTTTTACAAGTTTCTATTTTGATTACTATAGAATGAACCCCAAAGAGACAATTATGGGTCAAGTTTCATTAAACTGGCTTGCTACCTATTTTTTGTAAATAAAGTCTTAGTGGAACGTAGCCGTGTACATTTGTTTATATACTGTCTAGAACTGCTTGTGTGCTTCAGGGTTGTTGAGGTTTGCAATAGTTTTACATAGCCTGAAATGTTTATTACTTGGATGTTAAGGGAAAAGTTTACATGGCTATAGTTTATATAGGAAAGATTATACAGAACATTGATCAACAGCCATTTTAAGATCTTGGTCCAACATTAAGATATCACGACGTTTGTCTTGTTACGTTGAAGTTGACTTGTCATTTTTCTCAACAGTTCTGTGTTTTGGGGGCTGAGCACATACTTCGCATACAAGTGGCCCAGGTTTGATCCCTGGCACATAAGGTCTCCTGAGCACTGCTGTGTGTGGCCCAAAATAACAAAACATTTCTGTGTTTAATCAGTCTCTTTACCCTCCACCTTTTTTTTTGTCAGTGCCAAGGATTGAACCCAGGACTTCACACATTCAAGGCAAGCACTTTACCACATTCCCAGCCCCCTTACCTGTTCTTAGTTATGGTAGCTAAGAGAGCTTCTACCGTATTTTAAGAGTATATAATAAGTATCCCATTACCATTTTTAGCAGCTAGATATTAGCAACAGGGGATCTGAAAGATAAGTATGTGAACAATAGAAGCAAATTTAATATGAAAGTTGAGCATTCTAGTCAGGTACCCTTAAAGTTATTTTCAGAAACCTAAATCACTCTACAACCTACTAGCTTTACACAGTGAAATACTGTGCATAATGTGGAGGGTTATATAAACTATTGGTACTATATTATAAGATTATAGCAATTTTTTTGCTTGTTTGTTCTGTAAAGCAAAACATTCACTCAAACATTTGGCTAGGATATTTATACTAAGCTGTATGGGATCTAGAAATTAGAACATCAGTTGTTAACTTTAGTAACTGAAGAAGTATATATACAGCATCTTAAAGCATAAAAAGATCCAATTAATTTCTCAAATAGCATTGTGGCATTAATGTGCCATCATATGACTTATTTTTAGAAGCTTATCTTAAAAATAGCAAATTCGAATAGAAAAAATCAATTGGAATAGGACCTGCAAGGCAAATCATTAGTAAGGTTTTTATAAGCAATGTACTGTGGTTTGGTCTCAGACCCTTGGGCCAATGAACATTTTGGATACTTAGCATTTCTAAATCTTTCAAAGGAATTCATATATGTACATTTTATAGTAACTTCTATTTTTCCATACTATGGAAAAATATTTATAGGGAGTTTTCAGTCTGTGTATTTTGGGGGACAGTCTATGCAAACTAATGCATATTTTGTTGAGGATAGCTTTTATTTAGAAAACAATTCAGTTGGAAATCAAGGTACTCAATATATTTGAACTGTCGGTACTGTATAATATCGGGAGCTTTAAGGCTTTTAATTGGAATTTTGCAGGAAGGACAAGCAACTTGCAGTGATGAGCTCAGTTTAAAAAGTGAAAGTTGAACACAAAATTGATCATGGAGGAGCTTGGGCTAAAATACAGACAGTAGCTCAGAAAGAGAACACTTGTGGCAGGATAAAAGTTCTTTGTGATTGTTCTATTCTGAAATTGGCACCACAGCTTTTTCTCATTGATAAATCTGTAGGCAACATTTAAGATTCTTCTTGTTTTGAAAACAGCAATCCATGAGCTACTGATGCTATTTCACATATTTCCAGGATTCTTAGCTATGTCAAAATATAATGAATTAGTCTTTGTAAACTATTTTCATAGCTGAATTTGTAATGAATAAATTTTAAGGAGTATTGAGAGATGTGAGAGCTTTTACTATTTATCTTCTGTCTCATGGTTTGTTCATTAAAATCAAAACAAACAACTCAGCCATCCTTTCATTTCTCTTCATTTACCTCCGTGAAAATACCACATGCTTAATCCTGCTAAGGAGACAAGCTTTACAGTAAGGAAAATATTCTTTTGGATGATAAGATTGTAGACACATTCTTGGGGGGTAGTTTAGTAGGTCTTTTCTCACATTGATAAAATTTCCTTGGGGGAAGGGTAAGATAATAAGTTTTGTGACCCTGAAAAAGTTTCCCTTCTTACATCTTACACTATATTTTCCTCTTAAAAATCATGTAGCAGGAGGAAGAGCTTAAATGTCTATTGATTGTATTTTCTTTATAGGAAACTTTGACCCAAAAGCCATGAATAATTTTTATGACAACATAGAACCTGGCCCAGTTGTGCCACCCAAGCCATCTAAAAAAGGTAAGAAAATGTCGTAAACATAAAAACATCAGCATTCTTTGAGAGTTTACATACATGGTTGAAGAAATTTTTATTCATTTAATATAAAACTACCTTGTTAATGGTGATAATGAAATGTTCCCAGACTAATATTGTGGGGCCATACTTGTCAGTGTTCAGTGGATAATGTTGTGCCAAGGATTGAACCCAGACCTCCAGCATGTGCTCAGCCCATTGAACTAGCCCTCCAAACTTTAATTTTCAAAGAGCACTGAAATATGAGTTTCTCCTGAAATTGTCAGGGGTAATTAGATGAAAATACTCTTGAAGTAATATTGCATTATAACATGTTTTAGGAGTGCATTGCATTATAACATGTTTTAGGTATGCATTACTATAAGTCACATATGTATACTATGTTTTTACTCTTAAGTTCATTTTTTCATATAACTCACACCTTTAAACTACCTCCTGTATATACTCTGAGTAAAATCTCGTTTTTCTTTATCTGAATTGTTTCACACAGCATAATACCCTTTAGGTCCATCCATCTTTAAATAGCTTGAGTTTATATTCCCCAGATGAATGCAGTTTTTCTGTCTGGCCCTCTCTTTCTGACTCTTTTCACTTAGCATGATACTTTCCATGTAGTACCATTTGTATGTAAATTTCATGACAATAGGAGACTAACATCCTAGAATAGTCAGATAAGTTACAGGAGGTTTACTCCATGGCTTGGAGGCCAGCCGCACATGTTAGTGGAAAGGGCAGCTCAGACTGAGAAGGGAACACCAAGTAAAGGGTGTTGGGAGGATTCTCCCAGGATGGGAGATGCATGCTGAAAATAGACTATAGACCGAACATGTTTGCCACTCAATGCCTCTTTTGCATACCTCAGCAAACAAAAGGAGAGATAGAACAAAAGGGAATGCCCTGCCACAGATGCGGGATGGGATGGGAAGTTTACTGGGATCATTGGTGGTGGAGAATGGGCACTGGTGGAGGGATGGGTACTCAATCATTTTATAACTGAAACCCAAATACAAAACCTTGTAAGGTCAACAACTGTACCTCATGGTGTTTCACTAATAAAAAATAAATAAATAAAAACAAAAAATATAGTTTGAGTTGTATTACATTATGTGTATCACATCTTTATGCAATCACTGGGTACTCCAGTTGTTTGCAGCTATTGCAAGTGAAACTGCAATAAATGTGGGAGTATATCTTCAAATAAATGTTTTCACGTTTCTTTCTCAGGCAGATAGCCAAAAGTGGGATAACTGAATTGTGTGGAATTTTAAACTTTTTAGGAATCTTCATATTACTTTCCATAATGACGGCAGTATATTTCCATTAGCATTTATATAAGAAAGTATAAGCTTCTCTCCCAACACCTTTTTCCTTTCGCTAATGGCCAGTCTCACAGGAGTAAAGTTCTACCTTGATGTTCTGATATACTTTTTCCTGATACTGAGGCATCAAACTTCTTTGTTTAGGGCTACACCTGGTGGTGGTGGGGATTGAACCAGAGTCTGCAGTATGCAAGGCAAGTGCCTTGACCTCTGTACTAATTCTTTTTTTTTCTTTTTGGGTCACACCCGGTGATGCACAGTGGTTACTCCTGGCTCATGCACTCAGGAATTACTCCTGGTGGTGCTCAGGGGACCATATGGGATGCTGGGAATTGAACCCGGGTCAGCCCAAATGCCCTACCCGCTGTGCTATCGCTCCAGGCCCATCTGTACTAATTCTTAAATAAACTCTGAATATATTTTCATCTGTTGGTCATCAGTCTTTGGAAAAGAGACTATTCAAATTCCCTGCCCATTTAAAATTTTTTGTTGAGCTTTTTGACTTATTTATTTATATTAATTTTATTTTCTTTTTGGGTCACACCTGGCAATGCACAGGGGTTACTCCTGGCTCTGCACTCAGGAATTACTCCTGGCGGTGCTCAGGGGACCATATGGGATGCTGGGAATCGAACCCAGGTCGGCCGCTTGCAAGGCAAACACCCTACCCGCTATGCTATAGCTCCTGTCCCCTATATTATTATTTTTATGACGTGTAAATATATTCTCCTACTTAGGAGGATATATTTTTATTTTGAAACAGGTTTCTTTAGCTGTGCAGAAGCTTGTGATTTATTACTTTTTATCCGTGTTTTGTTTGGAGTTGAGTCCACAAACATGTCTAAGATTGATATTAAGAATATTGCCTATGTTTTCTTAGTATTTTGCAGTTTCAGATGTTGCATTCAAGTTCATAATTTGTTTTGCGTAAGAAAGTATTTTAGTTTGAATCTTTGGTGTTGAAGAAACATTTCTGGGCTCTCTCTTCTGTTCCATTGACTTCTATTTCTGTTTTTATTCCTATACCATGTAGTTTTAGTATACGTTGTATTACAGTTTTAAGTCAAAGAAATATGATGTCTTTACTTTCCCCCACATGGGGTTGCTTTTCCTATTTATACTTTAGTTTCAAATAAATTTCATGATTTTTTGCTCTATTTATGTGAAGAATGATATTGATAGGGGTCGTAGTGACTCTTCATGTTGCTTGATTTACATATACTATTTACCAGTATATAACATTATTAAAATGGTAATTGTTCCATTTCTTTCAACAGTGTCTTACAGTTTCCTACATACATGTCTTTGACTTGATTATTCCAAGGTATTTGTTTCAGCTAGTTCACAATTTATGAATAGAAAGTTATATATATATATACACATAAATGCTTATATATATAAATATTGTAGCCTACCGCCATAATATATTTGAAATTTAAAGACCAGAAAAATCTGTGTATATTTTATTTTCAAATAGTGGAGATTTTTCATATTTTAAATTCAGATGCCTTTTCCTTTTCTACAACTTCTAAAACTATATTGAACAGTGGTGGTAAGAGTGGATATGTTTGTTCTGATGGTAGAGGGAAATTCAAAAACCCTTTCAACAAATGGAGATAGGAAATGAATGGACTCCTCGCAGAGGAAGTCAGGCAGATGGGCAGTAGGCACATGAAAAAATGCTCACTTATCATCATAGAAATCTAATTCAAGACAACAACGAGATACTGTCTCACATGACTGAGAATGGCACATATCAAAAATAGTAAGGAACAATCTATTGGAAGGGATGTGGTGAAAAGGAACTCTCATCCACTGCTGGTGGGAATGTTGTTGGGTACACCCTGTGGATAACAGTATAGGGAGATCTCAGTAAACTTAGAGTTGAACTGCCACGTGACCCAGCAATTCCACTTTGGGGCATTTATCCCCAGGACATAAAAACATTCTCTCAAAAGGACATGTGCACACCATTATTCAGTGCTGTACTCAGTAAAGTAGCTCAGAGATAGAATCAACCTGGGTGTCCAATGACAGATATAATAGATTATGAAGACGTGGTATATATTTATGTGTGTATATATATGTATATATATATACATATATATACACACAGTGAAATACTATACAGCTGCAAGGAATGCTGAAATTATGCAATTTGCTGCAAGATGGTTGGAACTGGAAGATATTATGTTGATTGAAGAAAACCAGAAGGATGATCTCACTTATCTGTGGAATATATAATACTGGATGAGGAAATGTATTGCATTAAAAGGAGGATTCTTAGATCATCCTTGACTCCTGTGTTTAGAGAGGAGATAAAGAAGGAAATAAAGGGGAGAAGAGAAAGAGAAGTAATGGGTAAACAAGCATCAGGGTTTCAATAATACCAGTGATAAGCGTGAGGGGTATAGCCATATATCCAAAACACAGATTCAAGAGAACTGAAAACATGAGAGCTAAACTACAACCACTGAAGCTTTGTAATGTGCCTGTCAAGTTGTTGTGTGGGGGTGGATTGGGGGTTGGGATGGGGAGAGACCTGGAAGAGGGATTGGTGTTGAATTATTTTATGCCTAAAATGCAACTATCATCAACTTTGTAAATCATGGTTCTTTAATAAAAGTTTTTTAAAGATAAGGTCTTCCCTTGAGAATGTTCCATAAACACTTAAAAAAACATTTGTACATACATACACACAAAACACAATTATATATATAATATCCATGTTTATTATCATTTTTTACTATAGGTCTTAAAATAAGTATGGCAGTTCCTACCCTTTAAATTTTTTCATTCATTTTGTAGTACCATTTTCCATCCCTTCTCATGCAGCCTCACCACCTTTTTGGGAACTAAACTGACATCATAATTTTACTCAACTCTGTAAAGACTGTAATACTAAAAGATAAAGTCTTAAATTATTTTGAATTTGTATGAATTATGCTAGAATTGAAACTTTGATATGCAGTGGGACACATTTTTTATAAGCAACAGAAGAATCTTTGTATGTGTGACAGGTATTTTTCATCAAGAGGACAAAAAATCGATCTTATATAATCATGATAGGATGAATCATTTTGGATAATTACATTGAATAATTTTAAACATTGAGTCACTGTATTTAGATTAACTTTATTCTCTGTTCTTACTAATGGCTTATGTTTTATAATTCAAGAACTGAGCTAAGGTATGTATTTTATATTTTTGCTTTAAACAGCTCAAATTATGAATATGGGGTAAGGGATTCTCCATTACTCTAAGCGTGATATTTAAGAGTTTTGTCAGGGAGAGGGCTCGAGTGGATGAGCATTTCCAACTGTGGACCCTCTATTAAAAATATAAATTATTTCTAAATTACGAGTACCAGACAAATTACATGAAAGCTGTTGAAATAAAATTCAATCTCCATACTGAGTGTTTTAAGTATTTCATTTATAGGTTGTAACACATTATCTGTTCTTTTTATTGTTTAACACTACCACACATGGTCTGATCTTATTTTAAATAGCCTACTGGTTTCTAAAAATGGTACAAGGAAGAATTTTTGTAGATGACTGCTAAATACCAGATTTGACACAGTGGCAATTTTAAGCTGAAACTGTTGGGATTCATATCACTTTAACCATTTGTATTTAATCATTGTCTTGAGTTTCTGTTAAGGAAATAGCTACTAACTGACTTAAGAAGGATGCATTGAAAAATGTTACCTTGAAGTAGATAATGAAGTTGATAAGAAATGGTGATTATATATATATGTGTGTGTATAATATAAATATTCTTTGGGCAAAGATGGATATTTTATTACTCAGTAATTAAAGCAGTACTTAGAATTAAGACTTTAATGCTCATATAATATAGGTTTCAAATTCTACCTTAAACTAGAAAAAAACAAGTAGGGAGTAGGTGATGGAGAGATAATACATTGGGTGGGGCACTTGCTGTGCACACAGCAGACCCTGGTTTGATGGCCTTGTGTGGTCCCTTGACCATAGGCGGGGTAAACAAAAAACAAAAATTAAAGTCAAAGAAAAGACATACACAATACCAATAAACACACTTGGGATGCCAGGGTCAGTATTCAAAACATTGACTCAAGAAAATTAAGTTATGAAATTTACATACAAGTGGTACTACATGGAAAGTATCATGTTAAGCGAAATGAGTCAGAAAGAGCGGGATAGACACAGAAAGATTGCATTCATCTGGGGAACATAAAGCAACAAAAAGGGAGACTAACACCCAGGAATGGCTGAGATTAGTACCAGGAATTTTGCTCCATGACTGGAAGGCCAGCCACACGTGCTAGGTGAAAAGGAAGCTCAGATAGAGAAGAGAGCACCAAATAAAGGGTGTTGTGAGGACCCTCCCAGGGTGGGAGAAGCATGCTAAAAGTAGTCTATAGACCAAACATGATTGCCACTCAATGCCTCTCCTGCAAAACACAGTACCCAAAAGAAGAGAGAACAAGGGGTAATACCCTGCCACAGAGGCAGGATGGGACGGGGGGGATGGGGGTGAGGGGGATGCTGGGACCCGTGGTGATGGATGACGGGCACTGGTGGAGGGATGGGCACTTGATCATGGTATAACTGAAACCCAAGCACAAAATTTGTAAGTCTATAACTGTACCTCATGGTGTTTCACTAATAAAAAAAGGGAAAAAAAAAGAAATTAACGAACACCTGAATAGTTATATACCAAATACAAGGTTCACAACTAAACCAGTATTGGTAAAGATATGAGTAAGAACTGTATTAGTCTTTTCTTTGGTAGAAATGCAGATGATTGTGCTCGCTTCAGCAGCACATATACTAAAATTGGATCTGTACAGAGAAGATTAACATGCCCCGTGCACTAGGAGGACACACAAATTCAAGAAGAGAAAGAAAAGAAAAGAAAAAGAAATGCAGCTGATTTAGACTGTCCCAAACTGGAATCTAACACTGAATTCAGGACTTAGTTCAGGACCTGAGGCACAGAGCTGACTCCAATCCCAGCACCACCACTGTAGCCAAATTGACACCCCCGCCCCAGCTTCATATAAGAATAGATCTTTGCAAGAGGGTACACACACAGACACACAGAGAGCCAACTGATCTTTCACAAAAACACCAATGTAGCCAGTGTGGGAGGAAAGTCTTCAGCCACCAGTGCTGGAACCATTCATATGGGGAAAAATAAATTATTTAGTATGTACTAAGGATATTTTTTTGGTCAGGTCATGTACCAGTGTGTTTCTTTTATCTTGGCAGTTTTATAATAGTATAGCTCTGTCTTTGTAACTTAGGTATAAAGGGTTTTAAACAAGACACAAGAAATCAATGAAAAGAAAAATGGTAGGTTACCCTACATTAAAATGCAACACTTGTGATCATCAAGAGATATTGAGAAGAAAATACATGCATAGCTCGTGCATAACTAGTATCTAAATAATACAAAAACATCACAGGAAAGAAAACATTTGGGCACACACTTAACACACTCACATATGACCAGGAAGCATGTGCTTACTAATGGTATGTTACTAATGGTATAAATTTACAAATAGTATAAATTTCTAGGATGTAGAAGAATCAGAATTCTTTTTTGAGGGGAAGGGCATGTGTAGGAGATGCAACCAGAGTCAGCCATATGCAAGACAAGTGCTTTACCCCCTCACTATCGCTCCAACCCAATCAGGAGTCTTTTTTTTCCCCCAAAACAGCATTTACCCACTGAAATCCAAAACATTTAATTTAGAAATCTGGCATTTCATAATCACCCATCTTGATTGACATGGGCTGACGCACATGGCCTGGTCAGGATACACAAGGACAATAGCTGAGGAGTTACCAAAAAAAAATCCATGATTCTTAAACAATTGCAACCAAAACAAAGGTTATAAGTATCAAGACTTTAGATGCATTGCATTGAAAAGAACACTTGTGCACTCGATACTTTAAATAGGCAAAACAAGGTGCAAATGAAACCTCACATTAGTTAAACAGTTTATTATAAAGCTGATGAAAAGGAGCAAGGTCGAGAGAGTCTTTTTTAAAAATTTTTTAATTATTGGATTTATTGAATCGCCGTTGGTCATACAGTGATCAAACACCCATCCCTTCACCAGTACATATTTTCTACCACCAAGGACCCCAGTATATCCCCTCTCCCACCCCTCCCCGTGCCTGTGTGGCAGATTTCCACTTTAATCTCTCTCTACGTTGATCACATTCAGTATTATGACAGAGTGTTAAGCTATAGCTTTTCTACCTTGTAACACCTGGGGTTGTTGGCATGTGCTCCTGCCCCTTGAAATACTTTTTTTTAAAACATCACAAACCCCTTCTAGGATCACTACCCACAGTCTTAAGTTAGGATCTAAAGCATACCTGCATAATAACCAGAAACTGGAAATAGCTCAAGCATTCATTAACAGGTAAATGGTTAAACTCTGATATATTAATGCCATGTAATACAAAGCAGTATGACTGATTTATGAAACAACGAATTAATAGTTTACAAAAGCAGAATAGTAATTGTCTGGGAGGCAAGGGTTGAGATTGGAGAGTAAATTGGAAAGCATATGGAAGGATTTTTCTGGTAAGTCTGATCAGACTTAGGTAGCCAGGTGTATATGCATTTGTCAAACTTAATCTTAAGCATGCCATTTGATATGCCTTTGTATAAATCTTACCATGATCACTCAAAGGAAATTTCTTGGGGTGATGTCCATAGACCTGGATACTCACTTTCGTATGGCAGTGGTGATGTCATTGTTGTAGACAATATCATTCTGCCTTTGGTCTCTGGCACCACAAAAATAAAACCAACCTTTACCTAATATGGTTCATTCTAACAAAATTTGTTAAAACTATACTGGAAGACCCCTTAGAATTCATTGTAGTGTACTTCAGTTTGCTAATATGTAATTAGATCCTTGATGCTACCAAGGTGAGGATTTCTACATCAGGCAGTTCGTTCTCTCTCTCCCCCTATCCCTCCTCCTCTGACTCTCCTCCCCTTCCCCCTCCCTCTTTCTCTTTTCTCTCTCCCCCCCTCACATAATTTTTAAAAAGTGGACTAGAAAGGTGTCGAAAATACTATAATTTTTAATTTAGAAACTTAGATTTTTATGTACTAGTTGCTAAGAATTTTAGGCCTTTTTTCTCTTTTATTCATAAAAAAGTCCATTCCAAACATGGGCTATCTTAGGGGATGAATAAGGCACAAAGAACTAGTTAGGAAAATGAAATAATGTGTATGAAGTCTGCCCTTCTCTGTTGTTACTTACTATAATGGACTAGTTACTAATAAAAAATTAATAAACTATTTTACCAGGAAAATTATTAGAAACTATACTAGCAAGAAGCCAGGGTGTCTGCTGGGCTTTTGCACATAGGAAGTTATGAAGTGATTGGGGAATGGGTGTTATTGTTGTTATATTTTGCGTTGGCTTGGATTTTTCAAAGTACTCCTTGCTCTTTATATCAGCATCTGTTTTAGCTTTATTCTAGTTAGTTCTTAGGTTAGCCTTGTGTGGGTAGTACATAAACTCAGTTTTACTTTCAGATAAACAGTTATTATTACTGAGTTTGCAGCTCTAATTCACAGGGAAATGGGAAACGCTGTGCCCTGTGCTTACAGTGAAATCCTATGAGCCCATCCACTCTTGCTAATGAATGGTTGATGGCTTCTTCCCATGCAGACTCGTCAGACCCCTGCACAGTTGAGAGGAAAGCCCGAAGAATTAGTGTGACCTCCAAAGTACAGGCAGATGTCCATGACACCCAGGCAACTGCTGCAGATGGTTTGTACAATGTCCAAAGACAAGTGTTATCCTCATGTAGAGTTGCCAGACTTTTTCCTTGAAACAAATTTCTTTCTCTACTGAGTTTTTAAAGCTGCACTGTCCAATGCAATGCAAGTTACTACATAATTATAATTTTTCTTGTGGCCACATAAAAAGTATTACCATTTCAGTCTGAAGCCAGTATAATTATATTTCAGTTCAAAGCAGCCACCATATTGGATAGATCAGCTCTACTAGTATCTTAGGGGGGAAAGCCAAATAACCTCTAAATGATTTGCAAACTGGATTGTTTATTTTATATTTCATAATGCCACTTGAACTTTGGGGTTTGGGTTTGAGTTTTCTACAAGTATTCCATAGATGTTTCCTAAAGTCCACTTAATGAACAAATTTAGCATGACACATTTTACTTCATGTGGTCAAACAAGGCCTGTCTTAACATAATAGCTAATAACTGCTTTTCTATTAATTTTAGGGTTTGGGGAACTGTAGAAATTTTAGTAATATCCTTGAGCAATTTGTTATCTGTATTCTAGTAAATAGAATAATACAAAGAATAATGTTGACTTGAGATATTTATGAAGATGTTCAATTTTATAGAAAAGTCGTCTATTAAAATATTCCATCAAAAAACAAAAGACTTGTTGGGGATGTGGCTCTGGGTTTAATCCCTGGCACCAAAAAAACTTAATATACCTGTAAATAAAATTTGTACAGGCATCTAAAATGTCTTTGATTTTTCAGTGCCTTTATTTAAATAGTACTTGCTCTGTGATTAAATAAACAGTAAATATATTGTTTAATAATGTACTTCAGGGTGATTTATTATTCCAAATTAAATTGTTATGGTACTAAATGGTAGCAGAACATTGCCACTCCAAAAATGCCTCTTTGGCACGAGGATTATTTTCAGCTGATTTTGTAACACTGCAGACTGGTGAAACTCCAGAAAGTGACTCAAAGTTACCCCACATGTACAGGTAATCACAGAAAATTCTTGTTAGTGGAAATGGCTCTAACTTGAATTTGCATGCTACTTGGCTTTTGTTCAATGTGCTTTTCTTGTATCCTCCCAGCAACTTTCCTTTCTCTGTAGCTGTAATTAAGGTGGAGACTTGGGCCATTTTAGGAAGTTTTATTTATTTTTCCTGGGTGTTCATTCTCCCATGTGTACAAAAAGTAGAAACTTGATAAATTGTCTTTTATTACTGGGAGTTGGGGTCTCAACCAAGAACTCAATTCTGAGTATAGATGGAAAGTGAAGAGACTGAGTTTAGGAGTTAGAAAAAAGTTTCATCGAACTTGTGTACTGCCACAATCTAAGACTTCCTTTGAAATTAGCATAGAAAGACAGGCTGTAACAACCTCAGGTCTAACATTTTCAGTTTTCTCTCTGAAAGATATGAAATGGGGGTAAGTAGCTTGCCCTGCCTTAGCACTCTGGGTGTGACCCAAAATCTAATAGATACAACACACACAATAAAATAATTACCAGAAACGTAGCGAAATTTTTTGTTTGATTTGGGGACCACAGCTGGCAGTATGGGCTAAGTCCTGGCAATCAAATGTGGTTGGCCGACTGCAAGACAAATGCCCTACCTGCTTTATTATCTCTCTAGCCCAAAATGTACTGCGTTTTTAAGAGCCTGTTCCTGCTTTTGTTGGCTGTTTTGGGGGGCCACACACTCCAGGCACCAAGGAATACAGGGACCATTTTCCTGGTCCAAGACCCTATTCCTTAAAAACTCAGCAGTACAATTTTAAGTGCTCTGTATTCAGATCTTTTTATTCTTTTAAAAGGTAAAGATTACTATTACACATATCTGTGCTTTTCTGGTAATGGCCTACTTAATGTTTCTCCACTAACCAAGACTTTAACCACATTGTGCTGCTTACTCGTCTATATAAGACCAAAAAAACCACCTCTGCCAGATCTACATGTTTTGGAGTCTGGTGTCAAAAGAGACAATGGAGGCCAGAGGAAAAAATAAGCCCACCTCCTTTCCATAGTCTTAGGAATAGATGAAGAATCTAGCAGTTTTCTGTGTGGTTGTAAAGCTGAGATCATCTTCCTGATTAAACCTGAGCTAGTCACCTGATTGGTACCTGCTGAAGTTAGTGTCTAAATCTTAACTCTCTGCCTCTTGAGGAATGTTCACACAAGCCAGCTCATTCATTCCAGTAGAAGATGTACTTGGCCCCAAATGCTAACTGATTTCAAGTGTTCTCAGTTCTCAGTTTCTTGTGTTACCTGCTCACCTTAGATTGTAATCTTCATTTTCAGTTCACAATCATGATTAACAGGGAGATTTCCCAGCCTCTGACATTGCTTCAGAGGCCAGGGGGATTACACCTGATATCATTTGTGCATCACCTTAAATCCTAAAAGGCAGGGCTTTACAACTAGAGAAGCAAAGAATCCTTGTGAGCACAAGATCAGAGAGAATGAGGGCCTACGTTTTTTCAGAATAAAACTCCCAGAACCAGCATAAGGTTCCCAGCCTTTTATAAACACTTGAGAAAAAAGCTGTGGATATAGCTCTGCATAAAACATTTGCCTTGCATATGTAAAGCTCTGGGTTTGATCCCTTGACTGCAAAAATACAAATAGGAGTCTTTTTTATTGAACCAATTGCATTCAATGTATGGAAAACCTTTAGAGTATTCCTCTTTTTAACCACTTCAAAAGGACGTTGCTATAAAGTGTCACTGCCATTTATGAGCCATTATTATTAAATATACACATATTGTTGAACTAAAGGTCTCCAGGAAGTCAGTGGACTGGGCGCATAATTTAACAAGCTATATATAGAACATAATTGCCTGTTCTTTGAGGATAATGAACTAGGAAGGTAACATGTTGAACTTCTGCCTACCCTCACAAAAAAGTCAATTTTTAAAATGAAGTGATCTAGCAAACTTCCTTGTCAGTAATGCATTTCTAGGAGTTGTTTAATATTGACTTTCACATTAGGTAAGGTAGAAAATTACCTCCCTTGATTTTTTTTATTGGAAAGAGCAGTCTTTAATTTCAATGTGAATCATACTAAGAGGGAACACTCAGCCTTTTCTCTTTCTATCCTAACTTCCCTCAGAGCAGCTAGCCACACTGAGTCTTCGGACACAGCCTCGAGATGAAGACTACGAAGGTGCTCCATGGAACTGTGATAGCTGCACCTTTCTGAACCATCCAGCACTCAATCGCTGTGAGCAGTGCGAGATGCCCCGCTACACTTGAACTCCAAAGAGCCCCTACCAGTTGGAGACTGAAACTTTTGAACACACTAGAAGAAAAGGAAACCTCGGGAATTGCTTCGTCTGGTTTGTCTGCACAGCCTTTTCATTTCAGACTATGGGGTAGGGAGGGGGGGGGAGAAATGACACTGTAGCGCTTGTGCTCACTCAAGGGAAAACAGGAGTGTTTTTCCCTTAACTCATTGCAGAGAGAGAAAGAGAAAGGGATACTTGAAACGATTCACTCCTGAAAGAATGTACATGGTGAAGTGAAAAGCTCTTCTCTGGAATCCCAGTTGTTAAATTTACTGCTGAGTGGCCCTTAGTTTTTAAACTAGAACTTTGATTCATGGTGTAAAATGTTACAGTTTATGCAGGCAAACTGTGAATTTCCAGAGCTGACTTACTTGGTCACAAATCTCTGGGAAACCAAGGCTCCCCAGGCTTATTCCATTTGCTTCCTCCTGAAGAGAAAGACAGGAAAAAGCTCCAGGAATGATTTTCTTTGGGTAGAGTAAGGGTATTTGTAATCGCTGCTTATTTCAGGGGTAATTTCAAACACACAAGCAAGATGTTTTAAAATGTGATTTTTAGGAGTCAGGAATAGGGAAGATTTGCCCTTTGTTTGAAATACAATCAGGTGATTAATCACTGGTAACTAAGACCCAATGATGCCACTGAATATTTATATTTAAGTTGCTGCATGCCCTCATCAGGCTATTGAATTTGGAAGATAAGTTCTTGCAAAGTATGATTTTTATAAATAATACTCTTGTTTGAAAAAAAAATCTGCTTTGCCAATAGCAGCATAGTGAATGAATGCCAAAAGTAAATTCATTCCAAAATCCGTGTGGAAATACTGAGTTCTGCTGTGGTTCTATAAGAAATGTTTGTAGTCCCTGGGACCTTTTCTTTTTTCTTCTAATTTCATGATGAATCGATGATGTTTACAGCACAGATAATACTTGTGCCATATCCTAGCTAAAAATTTTTAACTGTTCAGTGATGATTTATTTGCACATTTGTTAATAAACCAGTGTGAGGGAAATTACAGTTGGCCAATATCATAACGTTGCACACTGCATTCATTTGGGAGGCAGAGGAGGCTAGCCAAGAACTATTAGGAGAGATGAATACAAGGGACTTTGAAACTATGAACTTTTTTAAGTTAACATCCTGTGTTCAGAGATAATATTGAGTTAGTTCAGATAGCTGGGGTGATATTAAAGCACTCCTTATTTATAACAGAAATTCAGGGTGTGGGTAACTGAAGACAGAAAATTCTGTGACTCGCTAGGGTGCACCACTGGAAAATTTTAATAGCACATTTAATTAAGGCTTCTACCATGATGGAATGTCCTTTATAACTCATAATTGGTCTGGGAATCTTTTCTTTTAGGTGACTATAAACAGCAATAAACTCAATAGGTTCTCCAGTCCTAAAGGATTTTACCTGAGGTTATAACCTTAGGAACATACACTCTCCCATACCAGGTATGCCCTCCACCCATACCTTCAAGCTGACATTGTGTTCTAATTCAGCAGTAATTATTGGCAAACCTGGAAAAACAAGCTGCACTTAACATCATAATGAAACCAAAGGCATAACAACTCATCATCGTTTTCCATCAAAATCATAATTTCACCCTCGTTACATACAACTATTTCACCCTTGTTACATAAAACTTTGAAAACATTTTTCCATCATGTGGAAAATTCCCTAAGATAAATCCACTTGTCTCAGAGTAAGTGTGACTGTGCAATAATTATACTGATAAAACATCTCTCATACAACAACTCTGGTAAAACTGAAAATGGTGAGAAAGGATGATAAGATTAAAAGCATTGGCATGAGGACAGTGTTCTTCAAAGGCATTGTAAAACTGGTGTCTCAATCTCTTACAACAATCTGTTGGTCCTGCTGTTCTGTAATATGCCAATGCCTTTGTATGGTTTCATATCTTTAGTGATGGACAACCCCACTGGGTATTAAGTAACAATTTAAGGGAGAACTTATATACTGTTTGGTGTTCTAGCTAAAGGTTTACCAGTATTTTAATGGTATGCTGAGGTGGCAGCAATTAACTTGGCAGTTGTCAGGTTAAGACTGAAAGTAGCATGTATGAAAACAGTTTGAAGTTTATTAAAACCATGTAGATGACTTAAACTATTGCATGAACATACCTCCAGGTAACTAAGCTGTAATACAGTAGATGCATGGTTCCAGTCCTTTGGGGATATATCTAGTAAAACATTGTTTTCACCTGCCAGGAAAAAATGAGAAACCAGTCTACTTGACTGATGGGTGTAGAGGGTGGGGTATGAGACATCAGAGATTGATTTTAAGGACGTTTAGTGTGTGTTCATTTTTGGTCGTGCACAAGATTCATAAGCCCGTATAGGCTGTACTAGTTCTGAAATTTTATTGTGCCCATGTGTAGACTACTTGTAATTGATCAGTTTGAACATGAATGCAGTCAACATTCAAGGTGCCTTTCCAAAAGGATCTCCTAGGCGGATTGATATGCACAGACAATTGACATCAGTGGTAGAATATAAAGGAGATGTTACCTACCTGTTGAGGTCCCTATGCTCTTTGGATTAGTTGGTGCACTTATTGTTTCTAGTAAAACATTTCTTATAGACCTGACTGTGTATTTTACATTATTTCACTGTTTTGTAAACTGGGTTTTTTGAAAGCACATTTGCCATTTTGTTAAAATGCAATACCCCTTAATTTTGGGAGTTGGTCTTAATAGTTTAAAGTGGTTATAAAGGAGCCAGAAACTTTTTAAGTATTGTAAAATGTTTTGAATTGCTAATGACCTTGTTTGGTAGAACTTAGAGACAGTGGTTTGAAAGAAAAGCATTGTAAAAAAGTTGTTTTAGAGCAGATCAATGATGGGTGGAGAAAGTGCTGTTTAATTTGTTTTTTTTCCCTGGAAGAAATGGGAAGAGTGGTGAGTGATAAGCAGTTTAATAATTTTTAAGGAGCTGGTCTCAGTTTAAGTACTTTTTAATTATGAAAAGAAATCAATGTTTCCTTAAATTTTGTCATTGCTTTGTCACAGGGTTATCTAGGGTTCCTATCCAACTTTTGTGGCAACTCAATTTTATATAGTATTTTAAAAGGTAATTGTAATGTCTTGACAGTATAAACAAAAAGAACCTAAGGCATAGAAAATTGTCCTTTAAAAATACCAATGATGTATCCTGGAATGTGAAAACGTCCCTTTGTAGTTAAAATTGATTTATTTTTAATATTGTAATCCTTGTTCAGACTGAATGAGTTCATGTTATAGTATGTCTGTATATCTGTAAAGAAACAGCAGTTGAAATGTTACTTTATAAAATCAGAATAACTCAGGCACTGTGTGTTGCACCACTACTGTATCTTTTCAAAAGAATTAACAGTATTTTATTATAAAAGTTAATTCTGATGATGTTTTCACGTTCACCAGACATGCATTGTTTTCTGTATTATTTGCATCCCCCAAATATTTAATACAAGTAGATTTTGCATGGCTTGGGCACTCAGAGATTAATAGAATGACGACTCAATTTTAATGTCTAAAGCCATGAAAAGTTGCTTTGAGACTGAACAATTCTGAACTCTTATTTATGACACCCAATATTCATGTTTCCCTACTGTAAAAGAATTGATCAGTTTCTTCATTAAAACAGCAAAAACTTATTAAATCTTGTAAATACCATGTCTCTTAGATTTCTGTGTATGCTGTGAATCAAATTATTTGAGATGAAATTGTACAAAGGCATATAGAAGGCTGTGCATGCATCGTACCTCCAAACAGTACATATTCGGAAATTCAAAGATTTCTGCAAAATAAATAAACTAAAAGCAAACACTACATTCTGCATGTCTTCTGTATAGTTAGAAATGATTTACAGAATCAAAGTAGTTCTAGTTACAACAGTCACATATTATTTGACTGAAATACACTCTCAGCAATTAATCTTTCATTACTTTTGTGGGGTTGGGAGAGATTTGGGACTATACCTGGCTATACTGGAAGCTACTCCCAGCCACATTCAGGGCATCATGCAGCCATGGGAATCAAACCCAGGGCCTCACACATGCAAGGCAAATTCTCTTCCACTGAGCCACATCCCTGCCTTACAGTTTGTTCTTGTAATAGAAAATGAGGTATTTATTGTGCCTTATAAAAATAGGGTTAATATATATATAAGCAAATCTATATGAAAGGCAGATGTTTAGAACTTGTGTTTTCACTCGATTTCAGTTTATTACTTACAAATGAATATTTTTTGAATGAGCTTTTTTTTACTTTTGTCATTTATAGCTTGTATTTTAAAGGCAGAGGGCCTGTAGACAGTTTTCCCAACTTTTACACAGAACTGCCATATAGATGAGTTTTTAGATGTAGCCTTTTGAGGAATTGAGCACGTTTATAGTCAAAATCATTTCCAACACATACCAAAAAAAATCGCAAACATTCACAATTACTGAAGCCCATTCCTTACCTATCCACATATAAAGAACACATTTTTATTATGTACATGCCCATCTGTCCCACCCCCAACTCATCATTTTGAAACAGCTCCTAGATATCAACAATTATTCTGTAAGGAAATTTTTTAATTGATGTGAGGACCATTCAGTACCATGGATCAAGCCCAGGCTTCCCATATGCAGTTTGAACCATTCCCCAAACTTCTGTTAACAAACATCTAACTTAAGTAATCTATCCTCCTCATACCTTACAAAACATTTTTTACATTTTGAATAGCCAGTGTTAAATTTGAAAGACTACTTGAAAAAATCATAAACCAGGTTAATATAATTAGAATACTTGGAATTAAGCCTTAACTTTTTAATTTCCCTATATTATTTCCTTATTTGTAACATACTTCTAAATCATCTGTTTAGTTACCTTTCATCATCTTACCTTGTGATAAGGCATAGTGAGACACCAAAGATAGCAAAATATTATGTGAAGACTTTTCATTTTACCTACCTCACTTCTCAATTTCCCACATCCTGGATTGTCTCTTTAAAACAAGAGACTTGGGACCAGATAGGACTGTGGGTTTGTGTGTAGCCGAACCAGTTTTGATCCCTGGCGCCCCATATGGTCACCCAAACCCCACCAGGAGTGATCCTTAGAACAAAGGAGTAAGGCCTGAGCAACACCGGGTATGGCCAAAACACCAAAAAGTGATATATTTTGAAACCAAAGTTCAAATCTAGTTTACCACAAGAGGTGTTCATTGTGCTACCGATTTTGACAGAGTAATGTGTGAAAACCAACAATCTTTATTCCACTGTCCACAAGCGTCTTGGGGAATCGACTCACTGTTTCCCATATGGAAAGGGGGAGGGGCAACGAATTCTTCATGCTTGCCTCCCACCTGCATTCCTTCAGATACTTCCTGACTTAATTTTGGCCGGGTTTGACCTTTTTGAAGGTATTAATGGGGTATTGTCAAGGGGGTCGATTTTGTTTCACCAGTTCACAGGGTGGCCCAACCATCTCAATGTCCTGCCTCTTCAACAACGTTGGATGTGAGTTACAACAGTCTTTCATATCTATACAGTGTGTAGTCGAGTGATAGCAGCCTATCTTCCTAGAGTTTTGCACTGTGCTTTTTTTACTTTATTTGCACATTTACTTTATTAGGAACCTAGAAGTTTTTCAGGTAGTTCTTTTATTTGGTTCAAGTACTGTGAACATTTTGAGTTATTTCTAAATCCCATCCCCCAAGTCTGCTGAGGATTCCAGGGAGCAATTTTCAACCCCACAGTAAATACTTAAAACACCCACTGGCGTTAGTTTATTGAGTGGCTAAAAACAAATGCTTAGCAAAGCACTGAACTTCCCAGTCCTTACAAAACAAAGCAAAAACAACCCTGCTTCTTAGTTCAGTATTAAGAGAGTTGAGCAGTGTAAGACTTGATCTTTTAAAAAATTCCTTAAAACTTAGTGAATAAATGGAAGGACAGCCTTCTGAGAGAGGCTTTTACTTTACATAATCCACACAAGAAAAATCTAGAAGCGAATTTTAATATCAAAACGAATTTATAGCAGTGTTGCATCTCTCAAAAAACAGAATCAGCAGGAATAGTTGTTTTCAAGTGAAAAAAAAAATGTTCATGAAATTCCAAGCTACAGATAAGGTAGTAAAACTTGAGAAAACTTAGCAGAAAAAAAAACCTTTTCCTCCTAATTCTAGAATGAAGAGCATATGAATTGTGAATTTTAGATTCACAAGATGAGGTAAGGCCTTTGGGAAGGAAAAACATAGCAGGTAAGGAAGAAGGAGCAAATAAACAAGTATCACAGGAGGATCGGGGAGATCACTCAGAGGGCTGATGCATAGGCTTTGGATGCTGGAGTTCTGGTTTCACTCCCCAGCACCACACTGTTATCATCCCCTGCCCAAGTATCACAGGAAATACCCCTGAGCATCACCCGGTGTGGCCCAAGACACATAAGTACAGAGGGGAGTGAGAGAATCTGAAAATCATTACAAAGGTAATGAAGGTGACAGAAGTTCCCTGATTCCTTTTGTAAAACTTGAACAATTCTAATTCAGAAGGAGAGGGACAGGGACAGAATGATCTCTCTAATGTGTGGGATAGAAAGAAACCTAGTAAGGAAATAACAATGACCAAAGACAACAGAACCTGAGAACTCATCTAAATAGAACTGAATTTACCACGGCAGGGAGAGTTAGGGGACTGGGACGTGACACATTCTGGTGGAAGGTGTATTCTGGAACATTGCATTCATGATAGCCTGCTGTTAACAGTATTGTAAATTATGGTGACTATAATTAAACAAAAAAACTTGGACAATTCACATATAATCAAACGGAGAATATATTCAGCTAGCTTAGATGTCCATATGTTAAAGTTTTTTCATCTCACATGAACTAAATTCCTTCAGATGTCTACCAAACATTTGTCAAAGAGAAAACTTCAAATTCTCAAACAATTATACAGTCTCCTGACAAGAGGAACATAAATCTAGACGTAAGTAAAACAAGCTATCTGAAATTTTAATTCTTCGACACAACTCTTGTTTTTAAAGTGGAACCCGGCCTAGGGAGATGGCGTGAAGGGTTGGAACACACCTATTTTTTATCGAGAGCTCTGGATTTGATCCCTGGCACCAAACCCACCAGCAGGAGCGACAGCCTGGCTCTGAGCTTTGAATAGTCACACTGCTAGGTGTGGCCTAAGAGCCAAAACAATTTTTTTTAATAAATGAAAAAGCTGGGGATCTATCTCAGTGGTAGAGCACATGCTTTGCCTGATCCAATCCCTGGCATCACAGACAGACATAAAGAAGGAAATGAAAAGAAGCTAAGTCAGATTTTAGTTGGGACAAATCTTCAACAAGGAGCTTTAACAAAGATGTCATCTCAAACTAGAAAGTCAACTTCCAGAGAGAAAAAAAGGGAATGGCCTGCCACAGAGGCAGGGTGGGACAGAGGGGATGGGGGGGTGGGAGGGATACTGGGATCCGTGGTGGTGGAAAATGGGCACTGGTAGAGGGATGGGTACTTGATCATTGTATAATTGAAACCCAAGTACAAAAATGTGTAAGTCTACAACTGTACCTCATGGTGTTTTACTAATACAATTTTTTAAAAAGTCAACTTCCAGAAAACAAGGTCATTTGGAATCCAAGAATGCAGAAAAATCTCTGAGATTTTAGAAAATGTCGTGTGGATTATTTGAAAATGCCCGCTCCTATAGTAGGACAAGTTGCACAAAGAAATAATTTCGGGCCAGAGACAGAGAGTACAGTGGGGTAGAGTGAACATAGACCTAAACCAGGTTTAGTTCCCAGGAACCCTGAAGGCCCCTGGACACAGCCCGAGCCACACCACATCTACATTGAACCAGGTTCATTGACACCCCTTGGCTCCTGATCAACACCCAGAAGCCCCACACCCCACAAAGTGGTAATTCACGGCTTGAGTTGGGGCTCTACATTTCTATCATAAAATGTGTGGAAAATCGCAGCTGAACTAGACTCTGAGAAAATGCCACATCTAATTTGACCAGCATTGAGAATTCTACAGAATTCTAGCCAAGAGCTAACTCTGGGGGATACCAAGGCCAAGCCGTTGTATGGAAAAGAGCATTTAGAAGGGACCGGACATGATTTGAAGGCATCAAGAAATCAAATTCGACATTTCCCACATGGTATGGAAAGATACTTCGAGACAAAAGCTCATGTAAGAACTTGTACAGACGGGCAACAATGCAAAAAAAGGCTTTGTTCCCCCAAAGCCAGCCTGTCCTCCGTAGGTGCCTGCATTATGCTCAGATTCTAGAAGCATGATTAACAAGTACAAATTCTAGCACTTTCAAGTCTCATGCAAGGACATACAATAGAGGCCCTGGGTCTGTAATCGGTGTGAACAAGGATTTGCTCAGGCCTGTCACATTTGTAGGCACATTAGAAGAAAGCATGCCATACCATGAGAAGGAATTTCTGCTTCTAGTTTCATTATGTGTGTGTGTGTGTGTGTGTGTGTGTGCGTGTGTAGTAATAATAGTCACAGAGACTTACCTGGGGGAAAACTTTAGCTCAAAAAAATTTGATCTTAGGGCAAAAAAAATAGTATATTTGAGGGGGACTGGAACGATAGCACAGCGGGTAGGGCATTTGCCTTGCACACGGCCAACCTGGGTTCGATTCCCAACATCCTATATGGTCCCCCAAGCACCGCCAGGAGTAATTCCTGAGTGCATGATCCAGGAGTAACCCCTGTGCATCGCCAGGTGTGCCCCAAAAAGCAAAAAAAAATGAATTTTAAAAAATAGTATAGTTGACAGGGCACTTGCCTTGCACATGGCCCAA